ATATTGCGTCCTTGTTTCGACAAACCTGTATTGGTTTTCTTTGTTCCAATATCGATAATTTTGAACATTGGGTTCATTATTTAAGGTAAACGTTCATTCGGCAGTGAAACATATGTTTTTTAAAAATTCCCTATCCGTATTTGCTCTTTCCATCATATCAAAAAAAAACGCCTGCCGCCATATTTCGTCCCCATCTCGTAGCTCTTGGTGCTTTTCATATATGAAGGAATAGTATTTATGTCGTTTCAAAATTCGAAACGCTGTAGTGTGATCTACTCCTATTTCATCCTCAAGTTTCCTTGTGCTGATCTTTCCATCGTTCTCTTCCACGCACAATAAAACTTCCAAGTCGGTATCATTTCTTGCATCCTCTCTTTGTTTCTGCCTTGCTTCACATCTGCAGTTATTTATTAGGGTACCTTTGGTCTCAAATCTCTGGAGATTCTTTGCGATTGTAGATTTTCCAGGTATCGATCTATTCGGATACAGAGCAGCAAACATGTCCGACACCTTTTGATAACTATTTCCTTGATAATACCATTTAATCATCAATACTTTTTCTTCGGTAGTGTAATTCATGGCTAATATTTTCGATGTAGGTATGAGTTTATAATAATAATAATAAAGCACTAAATAGATAAATTTCTGAAATGACAACTTCATTTGACAGTTATCTATTACCTTGACTGGTGCTCATAAGTAAATACAGGGCCATAAGAAAGGAGAAATATTTAAAAAGAAATCGGCGATAACTCGTAAACGGGCTGATCAAAAATATCTAAAGCTATTCTTTTGAATGTGGGTTTTAGTGCTCTTCAATAAACCTAAATAGAATTATTCTCTAAACTAATTAGGGAAGCCAATAATTGACCCCATTAAAATTTATATGGGATTTCCTATGTCCCGCTCGACGATGCAACACCCGGTATATCATTTTTCTCTTTTCTCCGAATCGTGACATTTAAAAAATCGTGACTGAGCACAGACAGGACGCGATTATAGTGTTCCTTTGTGCGTGGAAAGGCGAGTGAACAAACGAACGCGACGATTGCTCAATAAGATTTTGACCTTCTTTCACGAAAACGACCCAAATCGCACAATCCTAAAAATAGAACACTCTGAAAAGGGTTATTTGTCAGATCCAACAGTAATTTGCGAGCTTTGGATTACACGCTGCCATAAGCTGTCTCGTTTGTTGTTGACTTGATTAGCATTAAGGTTCGTGCAACACGTTACTTAATTATGATTTCCTACGCTATTACGTTCTAATAGCACGTCTTAGGGGGGTGTAAATTGACACTGGTTTTTCCTTAAGCACGTTCAGAATTTAAAATTACCTACTTAGGGTGTATTCCGTTGCTTAACTCGGTTATGGTTTTATGTTCCGTTTCTATCGGTTTCCTGAAAGTTTTCTTATTACGGAACACGGTTCCTGAAAAATTCGGCTATAACTGTCACCAAACTAACCAGAAGCGAGAAGGCTGGTTTTTCTGGTTTTGTTTGTCAATCAATGTCATTTATGTGACAAAAATCAAGCAAATATTGGAAGTTCGAGTGAAATTCTCATTTAATTTCTAAAATTTATAATAAAACTTTGTATTTACATCCAAAAGCAATGGGGGTAGGCAGTAAAGGTAAATAAATTTCATTAACTAAATATAATGACTTTTTAGGGCCATTTAAACTTATCATGCAGCCATTATTTCTTAAAGTCAGGAACATTTAAAGAAAACATGAAAAACAAGACAATAAGTAATCGTGAATGTTTTGTAAGCTATAAAAATATAAATATTGATTAGATTTGTTTATTTATTAATGATCTGTTTTAATATTAGACATGCAAAGCTTCACTTGAGCTGTCTAAAGGTGCGTATTCATTATCCGCACGAACGAACGAATGTTCGCTAGTGGTATGGACGGGGACCGTACGATCGAACCGCACGAGAAGACCGGAGGCATTTGTTGGCGAACGCCTTTGATGTACCGACTCGAAACGGATGGTCGAGCGAACGAACGAACGAACGGCCGCATGCGTTCGGTCCCCGTCTAAATATACCGCACTTCATTCGTTCGTTCGGATAATGAATACGCTTAGCAGTAGAACGTATTCATTATCCGCACGAACGATTCGAAACCGCTAGTGGTATGGACGGGGACCGCGATAGGACCGTATCGAAGACCGGAGGCATTTGTTGGCGAACGCCTTTGATGTACCGATTGAAACGGATGAGTCGAAGCGAACGAACGAACGAACGGCCGCATGCGTTCGGTCCCCGTCTAAATATACCGCACTTTCATTCGTTCGTTCGTTCGTTCGATAATGAATACGCACCCTGCTAGGGACGAGGACCGAACGCATGCGGCCGTTCGTTCGTTCGTTCGCTCGACCATCCGTTTCGAGTCGGTACATCAAAGGCGTTCGCCAACAAATGCCTCCGGTCTTCTCGTGCGGTCCCCGTCCATACCACTAGCGAACATTCGTTCGTTCGTTCGATCGTCCGTTCGGATAACGAATACGCACCTTAACGAGTTTAACAGTTTATTAATAAAGTACTTTTCAATATTAAATTCCATTGAAAAGAAGAAGCAAACGTAAAAGCAGAGAACAGGTACATTAAAAATGCATAAAAGATAAATTTTATAATAGAGGTATTGAAATTTAGAAAACGTCAACATTTGACGTTTCCAGTATTTTACCAAACCCTTCCGTATCAAACCGATATTTTTCAGGAACCGCTCTTTACCGTAGTTTACCGGTCTGGTTTGCCTGGTTTTGCAACGGAATACAGCCTTATTTTCATACATATGACAAATACAGAAGAAAATCGTTACCGTGACAAATATTCAAACTTTATAAGTATCAATTAGACTTCATATTAGACTTTATGTGCTAAATTTCTAAAATTTGCATGGTAACCAAATTCTTGAAATGAAATGTTTTGTTTAACAGTTTTTTATCTCTATATTTATTTTTACTTTTTCGGTATTGTATGATTGATGCTTTTGTATATGTTTATTTGAATATAGTCTCTTTTTAATAAAATCCCCAAATACAAACTTAAAAATTTAGCATTGATTGTGTTGTTCCTTGGTAAATAAATATATTGGACTAATATTGATATTTTTAATAGTCTCAAACAGAACAAACATTATTAATGGAAATGAACAATGAAAGATTCATTGTTCATTTCCATTAATAAGAACCAATGGAAAGCTCATTTAATTTTTTTCCCATAGCAACTGTTAAAATTGCCTTATATCCAGTTATATCTATCAAAAATAGTAGATAAAATAGTACTTTAACCGCAAGAGTAGATTAAATGATACTTTAACAGCGAGGATAGGTTAATTATAATTGATTCCATTTTAAGCAAGTTATTTGAGATTTAAATGGAAGTAGGTAGTTTGGATATGGCGTTTGTCGCCTCAGCCTGAATATCTGTTGGTAATTTACTTATTTCGTTTTGAGCCATTTCTGGCAATTCAATCAGCAATCGACACGAAAGAGAATTAGAAAATATTGACTCAAAACTGACAACCAAATAGACAGCTTTATTTATTTGTCAAATTACATAGAAACCAACGCCAACCCAGCACAATATTTTTTCTACTCCTAATAAATTTCTTGAAATAATAATTTCTAAATATTTTTTAAAACGTAACTCGCTATGAAAAAAAATATTGTTTTATACACACCACGATAAAATTGCATTATCGTCTCCCGAAATTAATTCAATTAATAATTTATTAATAATAATAATAATCTTTTCGGTCGACGATAAAATACCATTTTATCGTCTTGTATAAAAAATAACTATTATCAATGACATTTTTTACATTATATTCTATAATAACTACTGTAAAAAATGTGCAAAAACCTATTCAGATTAAAAACAAATAAAATAAACGTTCCATAACAAAATAAGAGTTCTTTTTAGAATGGTTTTTTGGGGTAGAAATTAATAACAAATACATAGGTACCTATTTTTAATTTCTTGTAATCTAATTATTTAATTATTATATCTTCAAGACTCGACAAAAACGAACAATAACAAAAAGTAAAAATAAACAAACTTGTTTTTACTATAATAAAGATCTAAAATAAATGAACACGGAAAATTAACATACTACGTGAGAAAGTGCCATTAATTCAACAAATTTACATAAATTAACAATACTTTTCATTATTCCCATTTAAAGTGTGTCACACGCTTGTTTATTTATATTATTTATGCGGTAGCGAATCTAAAAAATCCAAACAACTTACTAATGCTTATACCTCATACATATTTTCAAAGAAGAATGTTGCAAGATTACAAGTAAACAATTAACACAATTATACTCGATTAGTCATCAAATCAAGCCGGATTCTGAAATGACACAAATAATAAGATCACGGTAATCCGATTCATGACTAATAAAATACAATTAGATTTCTATAAAAGGCCGATTTTACTTAAAACGGGAGCAAGGGCATACATAGCCCACTTAGGGTACTCACCTGTTTGAATTGTAAGGGAATCACAGGTATCCGTATTCAAACTGATAAGCCCGATAAGATTAGATAGTCCGCACTATAAATATCATCACAAACGGTTCCGTTAACGCAGTTTCACTGTTAAATCTCGCGGAATACCATCAACAACACTAAAATATGGGACATCAACTATCGCAGCAAACATCCGAAATGTCAACAGCAGCAAAACGTCTTTTGTTCTTAAACGAGATCACCGGAATGAAGTCGTCGAGGTTATGTTTTTCCTTTTCTAATATACGGAGTTGAAGCGAGAAAGACACTAGAGGGAGTAGGTTCTTTGACAGATGGCCTATTGACTTCTTTCAATTGAATACTCGGAGTTGATCCTAATGTGTAGGCAACCAAATATACAGAAAAATTCAACAGGACCGTATTGAAGATATTTTATATTTATATTTCTTGTAATTGTGTAATAAGTTTTAGTGAAATAAACTATATCAGGGTATAAAAAAGAAGACGGATGTTTCTTGATCGATTTTATTTTAAAACTGTAACAAGTTATATACAGAGTGTCGTTAAATTATGTGTTTTTTACAAAAATAAATATCTTACATAGCTAAATATAACTGATAGTACTATAGTGAGGTCAGTCCATTCTGGGTAACTTTTGGTAGCTGCGGATGATCCAAAAATAAAACTACTCTTTCGAGAACCTGTTATAACAAAAATTTGGTTATTTTTGTATATAAAATCAATCAAAATAAAATCATACTTTTTTCATTTGGATCTCTAACTCCACACAACTTATACGATATCTTAGATTTTCTTTTTTCTTTGATATAACCAGGGATATACAGGGTTGGACTCTCCAGACGACCAATGGAGAGTAACCTGTTGAAGTCTTGCTCTAGTTTGCTCGCTATTGGTCCTTTAAAGTGCAACAAGATCTGCACGCATTCGTTACTATGAAGGGTCTTGGTTTTCCTACTGTCAACTGTCAAAAACCATTCGGGTATGCCCATTACTTCCCTGATATCTTCGATAAATTGTGCTCTGTAAAAAATAATTGTTATTTATTATTATTTGTTTAATCTATTAGTGAGAGCAATTTGACTCGTTTGGCTAGTTTTGCCACGCCAACTCAGAGCCAACTGAGCGAGTATATTGTAGATATTAGTTTAGTTTTAATCATCTGCTGATGATCCTAACATGGTTAGCGAAACGCGCGTCGAGTGTAAAAGTAAGATTGTTTTGGTGTATTGTGGTGATTTGGTGTTTTATTTTGATGATATTTATATACTTACACGACAAATCTAGGAGGTTTTTCGATATTGGCATACTTAATAATGTCATAATCGGGTTCGATATTGGCGCAGGCGTATCTCTCGCCGCGTCTATCCGGACTGAGGATGACGATAGACCTGCCCACTGCGCTGACGTCACCTTCGAGCGGGAAATTTGAATCGACAAAAACTTTTCTTTTCAATCCTATGTCGATGGTGCCTAGTCTGGCTGACAGATCACCCACGTAGCATCTTAGTGGGTTTTCTGGACCACATTCTTGACGGTAGAGTTCATCCTGATACAAAAAAAAATGTCAGTGTCCTCAAAAAATATGGAGTAAAATAAAAAACTTCTTACATTGAGAGGGTCTGCAAGTTGGGTGTAGAACGGGTTCCAGACGTATCCCCCTGCTACGCAACGGGTGTTTTGAGTTTTGACAGCTGCGTCAACGCCTACAGGGTTGACATAGATGGCCCAGTTGTGGTCCCGAGTCTAAAAATAGAATAAAAGTTTTGTTATTGCATACGAGTATGGTCTTGTTATTTTTTAACCGATGTGTTACTTAATAATGTATGTTACAAGTTAATGTTTTGAATTTATGGTATATAATCTCATGGAAAAATAAGGATATCTAGAAGAGTTCTAATCTAATATATTTATTACAATCGATATACGTTCTGAGTTTTATTTTGCAATGGTGCCACATTTCACAGAAACATCATTAAATAAAAAAAAATTATTTAATGGGCAGGAATATTTTATTTTTTATTTATTCAACTGTAGTGTGTATAAGAAAAATTACTTACAATATTTCTGTCATTCTTTCCTGGATGTCTTAATTTAACTTCAACAGTTGTATCACTGCTACTGCCATCGTTATAAATGAGTTGTTTCTGAAAATCAATATACAAGCATTATAAAAATGATTCGAATTTTGACATATATTAATTATTTTATGTAAATCCAGACATTTTTACTTCATTATATTTATTTTAGTTTGCGGGATTTCATTAACTACACAAGATTTTGTTTAAAATAGTATAAAATAAAACTGGAAGATCCTTACCATTTTCATATATCCATAAGCGTACCCAGAGGGATGATGGAACGATGCAATAGCCCTAATTTCCCTTGCCTCAGAAGGGCTGTAGCCCCTTTCTATGGTGGAACATACCCATCTTTTATTTCCAGCCTAAAAATGAACACAATCCCTTCAAAATTATGACCAATACATTGGATGTAAAACTTATGACTTTATAGACATATAAAACAACAAATAATTGTAGCTTTTTAAAATATATTTTTCTCTTTAAGACATTATTTAAATTTTTCTTCTTATATACCACAAATTTTTGTTTTTATATTCTATCATTTTGTATTCGAAATTTCCCGCTGCTGCTTCAGGTGGCAGCTTTACTGTAAAAATGTCAAGTTGCCACATTTATTTATTTATTTCCTGACATTGTCATTCGTTTTGACACTTTAATTTTGTTTTAAATGAATTTTGTTGTGATACTTTAAGTTTAAACATTTTTACTAGCAGACCTTGCAGTCGAACATTGTTCTTTTAAGAACCATTTTTAGTGCGAAGTGTACAAGATAGCTTAATAGCCGTAAAAAACTCATCGCAAATGTATAAGAATATTTTGAACGGGAAAACGGCAGTAATGACCCTTTATATCCCTTAAGTGCTGTTAAGAAGGTGAGTTTTGTTGATGTTAATAATAACTGTTTATATATTTATATCAATTTATTTTTGTTCGTTAAAATATTTTGACTAAAAGAAAATATGTAAAAATGGGCAACGCTGTGCCGGCCAAGCTTAACCACGTCACTAAAAGTTTAATTGATATGAACTATATATTTTTTTTTCTTACTTTCTTGTGTATTATAATCGATCTTCCTAGGATGCTTCTAGGTCCGAACAGCGGCAACATCGTATCATTGTAGGCGTTTTTATAAGAAGTAGCGTTGTCCAAGTTTCCAAACTTTCCACTAAGATCGCCCATCTCGTACTGATCAGGAGTACCATGGTACTTCGTCGGTGATGATGTAGGATCTACATTGAGCGGGTTCCAGTGGCCGTAGAGTGTAGATTCCTCGCATGGAAACTGTAGATTTTCTTCTACAGAAGTCTAAAAAAAGATAAAAAATTAAATTAATAGTTACAAATTTTACTTCATTCCTGAAAAAAGTTTTTTTGAAGAAAGAGTTTTTGGTATTTTGACAGTCAATTTTTAAAGTAGTTCTTGACTGAACAATCTCTATATAAATAAGTAACTATACAAACAGTACCTGTTTAACGTTAGTTATATCACAGATTAGGTATACTATATGTATACAGATAAAAATCTTATCCCTAATTCGTGGAACGAAAATTGTTTTTTATGACGATGAGCAAACGAGTAAAATTTCCTGTGCGCAAAAATAAACTCGCGTAAAATAACAATAAGCAGCGTAATAGAGAGATATCGGTAAACAGAATAGCGTGCATGGACGTTAATAAGGCCAGGAGTTAAGGTGTACGCGCACTGAATCGGTACCAGTCCGGCGAGAAACGGCGAAGGCGGTGACTCGACTATCGTAGATAGGTAGAGGTATGAATCTGGCCTCTACAGGCCGAAATGTTTTAATGGACGCCGGCGCCGCGGCCGTCTATATGTACGATGGTCGCAGTCGCTTTTGCTGGTCGGTCCGATCCGATGCAGTGCGCGCCCTCCTTTATTTCTTTTACGTGAGGTGGTATTAACTCTCTTCATTTGTAGTTATCGGATCGGAAAGAATTATTCTGTTCGCGTCGCGTCCGCTATTTAAACTTAACCTAACTTTGAATTTAAAACTTTGAAATTGTTTTGTTTACTAGGTATTTTAAAACTAAAGGGCTAAAGTGCTTATTTCCAGCGCTTTATTGTTCAACGTCTGCCAGTGGGTTTAGGGCAACAAATTGCCTTAGAAGGGCTAAGTCGTCATCTGCTGTAAACCTAAGCCTCTTTATGGTAGAACTAGACACAGAAGACCAATCTTTATAGGTTCTTTAATATTGGAAGAGGTGGAATCCATATTTTGGGCCATATTTATTTAACTATAACTAATCCCAGTTACTTAAATATCAAATTAGCTAATAGAAACGGTTGTCAAATACCCGCACATGCCCATTTAAGCAATTTTTAAACGTTATTATAGCGCTTGGTGTAATTCAAGAGCAGTCAACCTTACCGTTCTTGGGTGTAATTGATCCGCAAATTACGTCAGGCGGTAACGTTATTAGCGGGCGTTGCGTTAAAAATTGACTCGCGCATATTGTAACCATGATAAGGTACGTGTAAATACTGCATGACGCTATTCGATTTTTTCGGAGTACTTATGGAAGAAGCTCAATCATATTCAAATCTAGAATGCCACTTTATCTAAAGAAGAAAACATTCGACCAATGTGTACCATTAGTCATGACCTCTGCATGCGAAACCTGAACACTTTAAAACGGACATTATAAGGAAACTGCAGGTCGCACGACGTTCAATAGAATGAAATTTGCTAGGAATAACCAAGAAAGACCGTAAAATAATAGAGTGGATATGACAAAAGACCCAGGTAATAGATGACATTCACAGAATCAAATCACTCAAGTGGCAGTGGGCAAGACACCTGGCAAGAAGTACAGACAACAGATGGACCACAAAAATTACAGCATGGCACCTAAGAGGTATTAAGAGACGTAGAAGAAGACCAATCCTAAGATGGGACCACGATATTAGGAAATTAGCAGGAATTACTTGGACCTGCATAGCCAACAATAGACAAGAATGGACCCAACTACAAAAAGAGTATCTAAATATGTGAGGGATGCTATACACCATAATTTGAAATGGTTGAATATACTGGAAATGATAATAATGATACTTACTATATGGACGTGGTAACCACTTGCTCCTTGTAATCCATCCAAACCGACTTCAACATCCGTTATGTCGTACTCAGTTTGTTGGAAAAATTCGATTTTTCCTTTAACTGTCAAATCGACGCCATTTGGAAACCAGTCTCGAGCCACTGCTTTTCTTCTGTATACTCCTCCAATTCTGTTGATGAATTAAAATGATAGAAAAAAACCGTTATTGTCATATATGTATATCTCTTATTTGGACAGACTATACATATAACATACAAATAGTTCAATATATGTTGAATTTAGTTTAGGTACCTAAACAACCTTATACAAAATTGCCTTTATTTTTGACACTGAACAAAATAGTGATTTCGACTTGAAATACTCGACATTTTGTACTTTGTTGAATGTATTTCTTATACTTTTTTTCCATAGCAACTGTTAAAATTGCCTTATATCCATGGTACAAAGAATACAAGGTATGATCGATAGTGGCTCCAATTTCGTTCAGTGCGCGCATACCACCTGTGACGTCACTAGGAAAATAATGAATAAATAAAAAATATAGAAAGTTGACAGGAGATCTGCATTTTTGGGGTTATGGTTAAGAATTGTTTATTTTTAAGACTTTTTAGTTCGTTTAATTTAATAATTACTAAAACCAGCAGTTCCAAAAATATATTTAAAAATAATAATTATCTATTAACATGGATTTGGACGATAGGTAAGAATACTAAATTTATTTCTATATTCGGTATAAAATTGTTTATTAGGTTTTTAGTTTGCGATGTTTATGGTAAATAATTTTCATTTTCATTGCCTCTGAATTCACATGAGGACAGAGTTGAGGATATCTATGGAAAAGTAACCACAAGAGGAATTGTTACATCATTTAAAAAATATTGGGAAGTTTATTGTTTCCCATCGAAAAGTAGAAAATGCCAATGCAGATGAACGTATTGTAATTGTGATAGAAGTAATTCTAAGGGTGAAGTTTATTATAATTAGTGGAAGTAATACCAAGGGTGAAGTTTATTATAATTAGTGACCTCTGCTTCTTTTTATATGTAGAAGTTTCTGGTTTTGAGAATAAATCGGTTGAACGACACCCAAAATTTAAAGGAAGTATTTGCATACCCAGAATATGCCCATCAAGGATTATATAGCTCAAATTTCCTTTAATGGTAGGCAATTATTCAATGCAAATTAACTTTTTAAGTGACTAAAATATTAAATAGTTTACAATATGGTATATCACTAAAAATATATTACTTTTAGGTACAATTAGGGCCCGATACATTTCAAAAAGTAGAATATTATTTTATATTAAATGAGGTATTGTACTAACAATCAATTTATATTAATAACGGAGATTAAAAAATAACAGAATAAATAGTTCTTTTTTTTATACTACAAAAATAAACTATAGAATACAACAGTATTTAAAAAAATAAATAAAAATTGATGTTCCGGCCGAGATTCGAACTCCGGTTCAATGACGGTATATAAACAAAAAAAACAGGTTTATAACAATATCTTGACGATTTGAACTGGCGCGCGGACCGTGCTGACCAATAGCGCCTGTTATCACCTGTGACGTAGCGAGCATCCTGCGCAACATCATACCTTGTATTCTTTGTACCATGCCTTATATCTATCAAAAATAGTAGATAAAATAGTACTTTAACCACAAGGGTAGATTAAATAATACTTTGACAGCGAGGATAGGTTAAAAACTTTATTTCTTCTCGCACGTTTTTTAATTCCTTCCATTTTTGAAAATTTTTGTATTCCTTTTCATAAGTTATTCGGGATTTAAATGGAAGTAGTTTGGATATGGCGTCAGCCTGAATATCTGTTGGTAACTTACTTATTTTGTTTTGAGCCATTTCTGGCTCCAATTCAATCAGCAATCGACACGGAAGAGAATTAAAAAATATTGACTCAAAACTGACAACTAAAGAGACACCTTTATTTATTTGTCAAATTATGTACATAGAAACCAACGCCAACCCAGCACAATATTTTTTCTACTCCTAATAAATTCCGTGAAATAATAATTTCTGAATATTTTTTAAAACGTAAGTCGCTATGGAAAAAAATATTGTTTTATACACGACGATAAAATTGCATTATCGTCTTGTATAAAAAATAACTATTATGGGTACCCTGAATATTTAAACAATTACTATAAAAAAATAGTGTAAACCTCTTTTAAAAGATATGCAACATAAATGAGAAAGCCTTACAAAGCTTTGGAATATTTGCCACTTCCAGATTTTATTATATTTTCCTCTTAATGAGACAACACTAATTTTGTATTTTTTACACAAAAAACACAACTTTTTTACCTGGAACAGGCCAGTCGTTCTCCTCTAGCCTTAGGTCCGTGATCATCATACAGCACAAAACTTTTTCCCAAGATGCTATGAGGTCCAGTCAGTGGCAAAGAAGAATCTGTCCAAAGTTTTCTGGAAATCCTGTCACTATCCACTATTTTTCCAGATATTTCCATAGTGCCTTGACGTTTGGAGAGGTCTCCTACTCTGCATAACCCTATGGCGTCTAAGTTGCATTGTTCCACAGTTGATGTGTTGTCATAGTCGATCTAGAAATTAGTATCAAATCAGTTAAAGTCAAATAATGTTAATAGAGGAAATTTTGTGTACAAAAATAAGGTACCCAAGATATACATACCAACAACTTCAACTACTTCAAATAATAAAGGCATTTTGAAAAAGCAATTAAAAGATAAAAAACGCTGCCAAGACTATTAAAATGTTGATCTAATAACAATTTGACGTTTATACTATTACGTCAAAAGCAACTTTTTTCCAAAGCCTACCATGACTTCGCTGAATCATCGTTTCTTGTTTACTGTTATTAATATCTCATTTATTAGATATTAATACATCTGGTATTATGGTATTCTGGTATTTCGTCGATTTAAAATAAACTAACTGTTTCTATCTTATTTTTTTGTTAGAATGGGCATAATCAAGTGGGCTACTGATACTGTGTTGTAAAAATATGGTAATTAAGGGCTTATTTTTTGGTGTTTATTATAATTTTGCTAATATCTTCGGTTTGAAAGAAGATATCAAGATGCGGTTTTCGCTGACATTTTAAGCTTTTACTACTCTTTACTATCAGCTAAAATTACATATACTATCGTATTTAATTTTTTTGAAAAAACGCGCTATGTTTGTTAAATTGTAAGAAAGCGCGTCCTAGCGTCTACGTTAAATTCCGTGAAATAATAATTTCTGAATATTTTTTAAAACGTAATCGCTATGGAAAAAAATATTGTTTTATACACGACGATAAAATTGCATTATCGTCTTGTATAAAAAATAACAATATGGGTACCCTGAATATTTAAGCAGGTACTATAAAAAAATAGTGCAAACCTCTTTTAAAAGATATGCAACATAAATGAGAAAGCCTTGCAAAGCTTTGGAATATTTGCCACTTCCAGATTTTATTATATTTTCCTCTTAATGAGACAACACTAATTTTGTATTTTTTACACAAAAAACACAACTTTTTTACCTGGAACACGCCAGTCGTTCTCCTCTAGCCTTAGGTCCGTGATCATCATACACCACAAAACTTTTTCCCAAGATGCTATGAGGTCCAGTCAGTGGTAAAGAAGAATCTGTCCAAAGATTTCTGGAAATCCTGTCACTATCCACTATTTTTCCAGATATTTCCATAGTGCCTTGACGTTTTGAGAGGTCTCCTACTCTACATAATCCTATGGCATCTAAGTTGCATTGTTCCACGTTTGATGTGTTGTCATAGTCGATCTAGACATGAGTAGCAAGTCAGTTAAAGTCAAATAATGTAAATAGAGGAACTTTTGTGTACAAAAATAAGGTACCCAAGATATACATACCAACAACTTCAACTACTTCAAATAATAAAGGCATTTTGAAAAAGCAATTAAAAGATAAAAAACGCTGCTAAAACTATTAAAATGTTGATCTAATAACAATTTGATTTTTATACTATTACGTCAAAAGCAACTTTTTTCCAAAGCCTACCATGACTTCGCTGAATCATCGTTTCTTGTTTACTGTTATTAATATCTCAATTATTAGATATTAATACATCTGGTATTATGGTATTCTGGTATTTCGTGGATTTTAAAATAAACTAACTGTTTCTACTAATCTTATTTTTTTGTTAGAATGGGCATAATCAAGTGGGCTTCTGATACTGTGTTGTAAAAATAAGGTAATTAAGGGCTTATTTTTTGGTGTTTATGATAATTTTGCTAATATCTTCGGTTTGAAAGAAGATATCAAGATGCGGTTTTCGCTGACATTTTAAGCTTTTACTACTCTTTACTATCAGCTAAAATTACATATACTATCGTATTTAATTTTTTTGAAAAAACGCGCTATGTTTGTTAAATTGTAAGAAAGCGCGTCCTAGCGTCTACGTTCAAAACTTTATTATTATTATTTTTATGGTATAATATAGAGTAAGAAACGCTCTTTTAAACGAGCCCTCGTTTATTGGATTCTGATCATCCAGTCCGGAGTTATTCAAATTTAAATATAGCTAGATCTAACCTTCCCCCTCCACTTTATTTTAGCAGATAGGGAAAAATAGTTCTAATAAAAAAAATACCCAAAATTTACTGAAGATTATGCAGATATTATTTATAGTACCCATTATGTAGGCAAAATTCTGTAAAAATTCTATTTTTTTATTTTCCATAACAGTTGCGCCCTCTAGCGGCCGTTTTACAAACTTGAAAATAATTTCCAGCAATTTCTCATAGCCCCTTTAGTTATAAATATTTTTTTTCGTAAGCCCTATGGCTAATACTTTCCGAGATACAGTCGAGAGCTATTCTTAGTGGGACACCCTGTACAACCCAGATGTAAACAGAGAAATGCTTGGCTTTTTGGGCATATTTTTAAAAAACCATAATTTTCTAGAGCTTTTCGATATTATAACATTCTTTCTTATTTTTATTGATTTCTTATTACAACATTTTAATGAACAGTGCTTTCCATAAAATGAATAAAATGAAAAATATACGAATTAATATAGATGTACTGATTTCTTTCGAAAATCGACAACTATGAAACTATGAACCCTTCCCGGACACAAACGGTACATTGTGAGCCAGGAAATTGTGGAGAGAAACAAGCCCTATAACATAGGATACAACATTTTAATGAACAGTGCTTTCCATAAAATGAATAAAGGAAATACAAATGTAGTAAAAAAACAATGTTTATAAATATGAGAGGAAAATATTTGGACCTTTAGCTACCTTATAAGGATTATAGACATCTCCAGCGCTTATGCATCTATTCTGCCAATCGTAGAAATCCTTTCCTGGAGGTGTTTCGTGAATTGCCCACCTGTGATCAGCTGAATTGTTCAATTGAGCACCATCAGCATGCACCAAGTACTCGGTGAGAATAGTAGTGTCTTCCCAGGGTTCATCTTTCACCTAATTTGTAAATACAGGCATCAATAAATAAATACACTTAAAATATCCATAGAGTGTCTCATTTATAAAAATATATACCTGAAATTTGTACGCTATTTTTGGTAAAACACGGTGGCCTCTCATACGCCGCGGAGGCTCCAAGGAGAACAACAGTTTGTATTGAAATTAAATTTCGTGAGCACATGTAGGTTAATTCAGAGCTCTTTTTAAAAATATAGAGAGTTCTATAGGGTGTCGTCCAAAAAAGTTACATATCAAATTTGTGTTTTTTGTAACGGAACACCCTATATTGATTTTCGGATTCTGGGAGAAAAATAAAGGTGCGGGTTTTATAAGAGAAGTATATGACTAATATCTGAGGTTTTTGATGTATTTAATATTTTCTAGACATAAAGAAAAAATTTTAATTACAATAAAGCTACCTAAATTGGAATTTACCCGGTATAACCTAATATGTAGTTAAATTAACCAGGGCCGTATCTAGACCAAAATTTCGGGGGGGTTGGCTTGAGGGGGGGTACAAAAGCTGCTAGGAAAAAAGCATAATAAAAAAATCGCTTTGGGCTACACTCAAATCTTAATTGAAAATAAAATTTTAAAAAAGTAACAGGTAAAAATTATTAATCTTAAAGGAAAAACTGGTCTTTTTCCTGGAAAAACGATTGACTACCTCTTCGATATCGATATTTATTTCTCTATGTACGCTTAATAGAGCAAGTCCTGTCAATCGCTCCTGACCTGTTAAAAGTATGAATTATCTTGAGTGTATTCTGAATATTTCTAAGATTCTAAAAATAGTGGAATTGTTTGTAGTGCTTTTTTTGCAAATTGTTCATAATAACTGTCATGATGGATACAGAGCCAGCTTTGTTTGTTTGCTCTGTTCTGTTTTATGCCATATTTTTATTTTGAAACGTTTCCTTCTATTTTTTTATAATGTTTTATATTTAAAAAATCAGTGGCATTATTATAAGATATAAGACTATTCGGCAATATTCCGCATGGAAATTAGTATCCGTTCAATGCTTAAAGTCTCCAGCATTGGAATATGCACAAAAATCTTGCCAATATTTGCCACTGCAAAAAAAAAACATTGATTTAAATAGATTCTTAAAGGAAATAGTCTTTACCCTATTAACACCCATCCTCGCTCAAATATCGTCTATAATATACAAATTACTTTCTTGTTCTAGCATCCTCATCGAGTTGCTTGGTTTTGCACAGAATGGCCCTATTTGATCGGTGGAAAAGGTTTCAGAGTAGAGGAAAAAATATTGTGTAGGAAAAACAAAATGGGGTTCCATATTAGCAACCTCTCCTCTAATTAATAATTAATATTACTAGCAAAAAAGCAAAAAAATCATAAAACATAATTTTGGCCAACTTTTAGTTCTTAATACCCCCTGTGCGCCGTCGGCGCGTGCAAAAGCAGAAATAGGTTTTTTTCTAAATAATTTTTTTTTTGAAAATTCGGAATTTTTTGAAAATATTTTTGGAATTGTTTTGCAATTTTTTTTAGTTTTTATTTAAAAAAAATAATTTCTTGATAATATGGTAACATAGGTAGTAGATTAAATTTATAAGAAAGAAAATCCAGAAAAGAACCAGTGGTTCTCAAACAAATCTCGAAGTATTGGAAAGAATATGTAAGGACCAAGAACTATTGACTACAATAAAACGACGGAAAGCAGCATATTTTGGTCATATTTTTCGAAATAACAAATATAGTTTCCTACAGTTGATCGTTGAGGGAAAGATTGAAGGACGACGAGGCATCGGGCGTAAACGGTTTTCCTGCTTGCGGAATTTGCGCCAGTGGTTTAATATAGGAGAGGCAAGTGCAATTATCCGTTTGGCTCAAGACAGGCAGGAATTCCAATTGATGGTCGCCAACCTCCGATGAGGAGAAAGCACATGAAAAAGGTTCTCAAAATTTTAGCAAAAAATCATTTTTTTTTTAGAAATTTTCAAAGTAAAATAACTCCGTTATTTTGGACTTATTTGAAAAACGATAAAGAGAAAATATGTTTCTTTTATCGAGATCTACCACCCTTTAAAATACTTGCACTTATTTCTGGGATACCCTGTTTATAACAATACACGTGATGCGTATACGCAAAGTTGCGAACGATGTCAAGAATAGGTACCCAGATTGGCGCTGGCTACCAGAAAGCGGCAAACCTGTTTGCACTGTGTTCGCACACTTACGTAGGAAGTCCTTCAATCGTCTTATGCCGCAACCGCACATGCGGGCTCTGATAGCAACAACACAGAGACGAGCGCTCGTTCTCGTCGTCGATCGAGTCGCCGAACTCCGACTTCCTCATCCACACACATAGGAAATCGGCGAAGCCCCGATCGGAGATCGCCGAATATGTGCGGTTGCGGGCATTAGGATTGAAAAAGACCTTTCTGGTGTAGCTGTTGACACTGGTAGAGTTGCTAGGATCATTAATAAAATGTATATATTTGGAAATATACACTGGTTACACTCCGATTATCGTTTCGATGGCGTTTTTAGGTCGGTCGACTGCAGGTAGCTGCTTCCATTTTTGCCGCTACAAGTCTAGTTCTGCCGCTAAAGTGTCATAGTCCAAGAATTCTTTGTCTAATAGCAGAACGATAACAAACGTTAATCACGTTAATGACCAGCAAAACACACAAAATTCAAAATCTTGTCCTTGTCAAACTTGCTGTTTTAAACACTTGGATGTTGAAAGTCGAAAATCGAAAATGACATTTCTTTTCAAAGTGGAAAAGGGATGTTAGGGTGTATAATGTATATTCATCAATGACTAAAGAATACAAGGACAAATAGCACCCGAGATCAAACTGTGACCATTCTTCCAAACAGTGCCGTCTTCCAACAAATTACCATTGTAATAAAGTTTATACAAAGTTCACTACACACAACCAACTATTAAAAATCGCTAAAATTGTCGCTGATGACCAGCTGATGATGTCTAAAAAGTTGGCGTCTAAGGTCACAAATTCTGCTGCAGCCCGTATATGGGCGTTACATGTCCTTGTATTCTTTAGTCATTGATATTCATCCATCTTCTTCTTCTTCTTTTTTGTTTCGTTCTTACTTACTTACTTAATGATCATTACTTTTTAAAAATTTTCGGCCATAATTTCGGGGGGGGGGGGTTGAACCCCCCAAAACACCCCCCCAGATACGGCTCTAAAATTAACTATTGTAATAGGTTTATAACTAGTTTTTATTCTGTCATAATTAAAATATGTTTTAAACGTGTATCTTTTTATTACTCTTGAGTATTTTACTCTACAATCTTTAATAATTTTTGTTAAATTAACAAAAGGTACATATATCACAGCCACCCTAGATTTTTTCAAAAAATAATAATATAATCAAATAATGGTTACTGTAATTAAATATCAAACTATACAAGGTCAACTAAAATTTAGGTAGCTGTTATCGAAATTTAAAATTTACTCTTTATTTTCACAAAATGTGAAATAAGTATGTCAAAATCCTTAGATTTTAGGTATATGCTTCTTTAATAAAACTTACCTTTATTTTTTTCCTAGAATCCGAAAATCAATTAATATATAGGGTGTTCCGTTAGAAAAAACACAACTTTGATGTGTAACTTTTTTTGGGGACGTCCTGTGTAATTCTATATATTTTTATAAAATGCTTTCAGTTAACCTACATATGCTGCCAAAATTTTATTTCGGTATAAACTACCGGTCTCCTTGGAGCTTCCGCGACGTATGAGAGGTGCCACCCTGTATGTAATTTTTTTGCATCTCAAAAAATAAAGCTTGTAAAATATGAAACAAAGTTTACCTGTCTCATTATCAGTCTTCCTACTGTTGGATATCTGAACACCACCTGAGCTGTGAATATCTGCTTTTGGTACATGAAATTAGCTTCATACAAGCTTATACTACCACAAATCCAAGGTTCTTCAACTATCTCCGTTGTCGGATACTGGGTGTTTCTACATAGGACCATCAAAAAATTATTTAATCATACGTATTAAATAAACAAATTCAAACAAGTATAAAAATGAAAATCTTACTTGTATATGACAAAAGATCGATGTATGATAGAGTAAGTACCCTGCAAAGGTAAAAATACATCCCAGAAAGTACCGTTCAGTTCTTGGCCACCGGGTACAAGCATAGATGCGTTGTTTCTACTGAGTAGTTTTCCGGAAAGGTCTCCAATTGGGTACTGATCCTGTGTACCATATCCTAAAATATATTTTTTTTACGTTATACCGTATGATCGAAAAAAAACCGGTGTCAAAGACGGCTGGGGAATGACAATCGATAATAATTTTGGCGAGGTCAATCTCTAGACATCATTTACTAAAACTGACATAAAACTTGTCAAAAATAAACACTAATTATAGAATGATTAAAAAAAGATAGAACGTTTTCAGACACAGAAACCTATTTGCTATTATCATCGATTGTCCTTCCCCAGCTGTCCTTGACGCCATTTTTTTCGATTCTATGGTACATGCTCCATATTGCTAGGGAAATCTCTTAAATTGAGAAATATTTCCCTCAATGGCAACATTGTTTGACCATTTTTTAGCAACTTAATTAAAAATCTACAAAATAAAACAATATTGACAAAAGTAACTTCAAAATTTCACTATGTGGAGTTTGGAGGAAAATATATTGTGATATATCACTGAAAAGAGACGTTTAAGCTTTGCTTATACAGGGTAAGTCTTAATAAGTGCAAATATTTTAGGGGTAATATATTTCGAAACACAAATATGAGTTTTTTTCGCGAAAAAACATTTGAAAATTTGGAATTTTTTGAAAAAAAAATTGGAATTCCTTTTTAGTTTTGATTAAAACACATAATTCCTTGATAATATGGCAATATAGTTGGTAGATTAAATTTACAAGAAAGAAAACCCAGAAAAAATCCGGTGATTCTCAAAATTTAAGCAAAAAATTATTTATTTTTGGAAATTTTCAAAATAAAATAGCTCGGTTATTTTGGACTTATTTGAAAAACGGTAAAGAGAAAATATGTTTCTTTTATCGAGATCTACTAGCCCCGAAAATATTTGCACTTATTTAAGACTCACTCTGTATTTGGCAAAAAAAAATTAAATTTGATTTTTCCAAAAAAATATAATAATGTAACATCCATTTAATAAATCTCGATTTTTTTTTAATTTTTTTAAAAATATAGAGTGCTCTAATTGGAAAAAAAAATGTATAAAAAACTGGATTTTGAAATAAATTATTTACTTACCGTTAGGAGGGACTGTCCTGATGTCAGTCTGTCTCGGATTATAGACAAACTTAGTTGTCAAACAAGCATTCTCATTTTGACCTACAGATTTCGCTGGTTTGATAGGCAGCTCATGAACTTTGTACCTAAAGTATTACATAGAGTATATTACAGGCAGGGACGTAGCAACAGGGGGTGCAAGTGGTGCGGCGCACCAGGGCCCGGGGTCCGAGAGGGGCCCGACGCGGTTTGGAAACTGCTAAGAAAGACATTGCAGAAATGAAGAACAGTCGAACAGTTCCGAGGAAGTTATAAGTGAAGCACCTGATTTAGCTCGTGGTTGGGGAATTAATCCAAGATTTAAAGAACACAGGATCCGCAAAGTAAAAAAGACCAATTCGATGAGTTATCATGTGATGACTATTCAACGTCAACGTTAGACATTATTATGTCACAACTCAAACATCGATTCAAAGGGTTAAATAGCGTAGTTGAAAGATTTTAAGTACTTTTTCCTTTGGTCCTGAGAGTTCATTCTGATGCTGATTTGGTCCTCCTATCTGAAAACCTGATCAGCTTTTATTCCAATGATCTATCATATTCATTTGCTGAAGAAATTGTTTCAGGCGAGTTTACAAAGATCAAATAAATGCAGACATTTTCAGTTAATGACTTGGCGAAGTTAGTTATTTGCGATCAAATGATCTTCAGTTCATTCACAGAAATCTGCTGTGCTTTTATCCTTTTTCTAACAATTCCTGTATCGGTAGCGACTTCCGAGAGATCATTTTCAGTCTTAAAATTAATTAAGAATTATTTAAGAAATAAAATGTCGCAAAACAGACTCTCCAGCTTGGCAATTTTATCAATAGAAAACGAGACAGCCAGAAACTTGGATCTTAATAGAATAATTTCATTGTTTGCCAATCGAAAAGGCAAGTAAGGTAGAGTTTTTTTCAGCATAGAAATAACTATAAATTAGTTAATAAGTAATAGTTTTGTAGTTTAATATTTTTGTTACTACATTTATTACTACTCGCCATACATTTTTGTGCAATAAATGTGTTATTTTATTTTTCATTGTTTTTTTATAATGAAGAAAAGGGCCGGCTGGTGGTCTTGCACCAGGGCCCGGGTTCGACTTACTACGTCCCTGATTACAGGGTTATCCATGCTACTCAAAGCTATTTTGTAGCTAATTTTATAAAAATACAGCACACTTTTTAATGACTCATTTCTCTAAGTTTATAGAATTAAATATGCACTGAAATTTTTTGATTTTACTGTATATTGTGTTGCACTAATCTATACTAACATATAAAATCCTTAAGTGACTGACATACTGATTAATCACGATCTTGCTCAAACCACTCAACGTAAGAAGCTCAATTTTGGCATACAGATTGATTCTAGGGTGAAGAGGTTCGATAAGAAGGGATTTTTCGAAATTCCAGTTCCAAGAGGGTAAAACAAGGGTAAAACCACCCCTCAAATATTACAATATTTTTTATTTAAAAAACGGTGAAGTTTCCGTAAAAACGCTTAAACACGTATATTTTATTTTGTTTTTTACATATTTTAAGATTTTTTAAAAATGTATACAGGGTGTTTCGAAAAATCTGGTCATTGATTAATCACGATCCTGCTTAAAGCGCTTGACGTAAAAAGCTGATTTTTGGAAAACAGATTGACTTTAGGCTGTAGAGGTCCGATAAGAAGGGATTTTTCGAAACTCGAATTCTAAGGGGGTGAAACTATCCCTCAAATATTAAAATATTTTTTATTTAAAAAACGGAAATTTTTTTCGGAAAAACTCTTAAACACTTATATTTTATTTTGTTGTTTTACATATTGTAAGATTTTTTATAAATTTATACAGGGTGTTTTATAAAATATGACCATTGAGTAATCACGATTCTGCTTAAACTGCTTGACGTATAAAGCTGATTTTTGGCAAACGGATTGACTGTGAGGTGTAGAGGTTCGATAAGGAGGGGTTTCTCGAATCTCAAATTCCAAGAGGGTGAAAACGCCCCTCAAATATTACAATATTTGTTATTTAAAAAACGGTTAGTCTTTCGGGAAAACGCTTGGACAAGCATATTTATTTGTTTTTTTTACATATTTTGAAATTTTTTAAAAAATCAAACAGGGTGTTCCAAAAAGTTGGGTAATTTCTTAACCACGATTCTGCTTAAACTGCTTGACGTAAAAAGCTTATGTTTGGCAAACGGATTTTTCGAAAGTCAAATTCCAACGAGATAAAACTACCCTTCAAATATTACCAAGTTATATAATAATATCGCCATACTGTTTTTTCTCATGCTGACATAAATGTGAGAAAATTTTATCCAGTTTGTATGTTAATGGAAATTCTTGCTTTGCTTTATCATCACCATTACAAATGATTAATTCGACGCGAACGAAGTCGCTGGTAAACGCTAGTAGAAATAATAAAAAACAAGCGTTGGGAAGACATACTTTTTAGTCCTATCCAAAAGAAACATTTCTTAACATAAAATAAGTAATATTTGTGTTTTTCTCACCCAGCAACAGTAGAACTGAACACAATTCGTGTTTCCAGATCACCTCTAGCTGTTGATAAGTTGAATTTCAGAAAAGTTGGCTCGAATCTGTTGTTCTGAGTCAGTCTGATGTCACCTTTGATGCCACCTGACTGAATAATAACCCTGCAGAAGTCCAAAAATATATTTATTTACAATTTTATAACTTAAAAAACGATTATGATAAATAAGTATAAAATTAAAACACTTAAACCTTACCTGGATGTAACTGGATGAACATATCTGATTTTGGCACAAGCCAAAAACACGTCTGGATGTTTTTTCTCGAAAATCACCACATATAGTCTTCTTTGAGGTCCAGCAAGGTCACTAGGCAGCAAAACCAAATCACTATCTCTATAAAGCGTTCTATACTTGTTCTTATTGTAGTTCGTCGAAATTTTTACTTTTCCCACTCTTAAATCTACATCCCCTGTAGAATTTCCAGGTCCTTTGTTCTCTGGATCAAACACTAACTGAAGAATATTACAGTTTTCATCTGATCGATCAGTAGAATCCAGAATATCAGTTACATAAATTTTCCAGGAATGCTCAGTGGAGCTCTGGTATTTCTCGTATTTTTCTTTATTGATTGAGTGATACAAATCAGTAGTTATTAGTGTCTCACTGTGAGTATTTTCAGTAGTATACCATCTAAAATAAACGTTCCCAGCTACAGGTGAGTTAAATCTTGCTACAGCAAGTTTTTCTTGGTTTTCCTCAAGTATGCTGATGGATCCGCATACTTTTCTGCCATTTTCCACTTCTTGTAGCATGATGGACTTGCCATAGATGCCATTTGGACCTGTGATTTGAATCTCCTCACTGGAAAAATCACTGGTTTTGTTGTCGGGTATCACCAAGTAACCGAAAATGTCATCGAGGGTTATGAGGTTTTTGCCTATTCGCTGTTCTGAGCATCTGTTTTGAAAGAAAAAAAAAATATAATAGGCTGGTCCAAGCTGTATTTCGGAAACTTCGGCAGAATATTCTGCAGATAAAAATAAGTAAAAAAGTTCGTATAAATGTATGTCCTAAAATGCTTAGTTTCGGAGATACAGGGTGTAAAAGTTTTATTTTTATTTCGTTTTTTTTTCCAAAAGTAACGTCAATATTTGGATGGAAATTGGTGTCTAGGTTTTTTTTGACATGATAAATTTGATTTTGATGTCAATATGACTCCTACTTGTAGAGGGCGCCACCTACATATTTTTTAACTCGTTTGAAAAGTAATAACTTTTCGTCGTAATAACTTTTTAAATAACTTTTTAAATACGAGTCATATTGACATCAAAATGAAATTTCTCATCTCAAAAAACTCCCAGACACCAATTTTCATCCAAATATTGACATTACTTCCGAAATTATTTGGAAAAAATCGAAATAAAAATGGAATTCTACACCCTGTATCTCCGAAGCTGATTATTTTAGGACATACATTTATACGAACTTTTTCACTTATTTTTATCTACAGAATATGCAGCCGAAGTTTCCGGAATACAGTTCGGACCAGCCTGTATAACATATAATTTTCACTAGTAATACCACTAGAGGTCAAATTATTTCCGGAAATTTTTCCGGAGTCGAAGACGAGGGATAATTTTCTAAAAATATTCATGAGCGAGAAAAAATGTCCAGATTTAATTTGACCTCGTGTGGTATATTCGGTAAGAAAATTCCACACCAAATTGTGTTTGAAAATCAAATAATTAAAATGTATTTTTCGATTTTTGGTCGAATTGATTATTTAGTTACTATGACAACTAAGTGACACCCATACCTAAAAGCTATTTCAGTTTTGAAGCTGTCAAGCGGCACGGCTTAAAAAAATGTTTCGCTTCGGTCATGAAAGCAAAGAAAATATTCGCCAGGAGATTAAGCAGTTGACATCCGCGAATACCAGGAAATCGAAGTCATACGTATGGAAGCAGTTTACAAACTTTCATCTCAGCTTTGTAATTGAAATGTATCAAAATTATCATGTAAACAAATAAAAACCAGACTCTCAAAAAGATATTCTGTCATTATAAACGTCAAAAAATTTCCAGTATAATTCGCTGTTGGGTGCCCACAAGAAAAAAATTTTCACTAAAATTTATCCGTTGCCATGCTGATTTGTCAAAAGAATACGTTTTGATTGGTTAAAAATTACAGGTGTGGAATTTTCATGAAAATTTTTACGTGTGATACTATATTGGTAAAATATCTAATATATATAAGCAAAAACTTGAGATAGAGCTGTCTCTAAATAAGGACCACCCTGTATTATGTACTTAAGTCATAAGAAATATTCATACCTGTTTTCGATTTGGGTGTAGTCTACAGGGAATTCTGTAATATACCATGCCCATACAGAATTTGGGAACTCTAGCGTTGGTTGTAGATCAGTTTCGATAGTGACATTATCTCCATCTTTGGTGAAGGTTATGGTGCCGTGGAGCCCATTTTCTGAGAGGTAGCTTCTTAGAACTAGAGAGGTACTTTGTTGTATGCCTGAAATGAAAAAAAAAAAATGAAATCGGATACTACACTGACGGACATCTACACTGCGCATCACATCTGCATAGGGTATCCCATTTTCGTGTGGTTTATGGAATTTCTCGTTTATGAATAGAGATACAATGATGCCATTTTCACATTACTTTTTTATGAAACTACATTGTGAGACAGGAAATTGTAAAGAGAAACAAGCCCTATAACATAGGATACAACATTTTAATGAACAGTGCTTTCCATAAAATGAATAAAATGAAAAATATACGAAATTATATACATGTACTGATTTCTTTCGAAAATCGACAACTATGAAACTATGATCAAATGTCCTTGTCTCAAACGGTACATTGTAAGACAGGATATTGTAGAGAGAAACAAGCCCTATAACACAGGATACAACATTTTAATGAACAGTGCTTTCCATAAAATGAATAAAATGAAAAATATACGAAATAATATACATGTACTGATTTCTTTCGAAAATCGACAACTTTGAAACTATGATCCCTTCCTTGTCTCAAACGGTACATTGTGAGACAGGAAATGATAGAGAGAAATAAGCCCTATAACATAGGATACAACATTTTAATGAACAGTACTTTCCATAAAATGAATACAATGAAGAATATACGAAATAATATACATGTACTGATTTCTTTCGAAAATCGACAAAATCTTTCGAAAAACTATGAAACTATGATCCCTTCAGAACATTTTAATGAACAGTGCTTTCCACGTGTCTTAGCCTCCTTAGTTTCTGAAATACAGGGCAAATTTATGATGCGCAGTAGTGAACAGATGTTGAATACCAGATATGATGCGCAGTAGTGAACACAATGTCTACCGACAGCCAGACGGTTTGAACTCTGTTCATGAAAGCATAGCAAAAGATGTTTTATTAAAGAACCAGCTTTCTTAAAATTCTTTCTCGAAAACTAGCTCTTAGACTATAAGTAAAACAGCGAAATCGTTATGGAAATGAAAATATAAAATGACACCGATCACAAGCAAATCGTATATCCGATGAACAGAGGCATTAAAATGCAATAAATTTAAAAACTGCGTTATTTTCTAACCAATCGAAGACTTTAAATTCAACCAATAAAATTAATATCGTATCATCGTATCGTCGGATAACGGATGCATAAAAATCAAGCTTAAGCCGTATGTGAATGTGTAAATAAAGCTTAAGAGGACATACCTACATATTGGGTTAAATTTTCTCACGAGAAACTATATTGTACATGTTAAAACTCTCCCTTTCAGAAGATTTCGCGGCAAAGTAAAACGAAGATTCTGTTAAGAAAAGAAGAATAAGTTCCCCTCTTAATACGCGTCAATCTTGTTTCCGTGAATTTCGCATTGTTATGTGAAAAATGCGTGCTACCTGGGACGCATCAATTCGATTTTTTGCCGAAACGGTAGAAAAAAGAGACAGACAATAGACATCAAGGTCAGTTACGAAATTGTAAATATAACGGTTTTCAGATTGTATTATGGCGATTGTGATTTCCTTTAATTTTTCTTTAATCTGTCTATTTTTACTGTATCCCCATTTTTTTGTATAAGTATGATAGATCATTGCATTTAGGAGGTAATAAACTTTTAAAAAATTCAGTAAAATATTCAGGTTTGTATTTAAAAAAAATTAAGTTGATAATAGTATGTCGAAAACGAAAAGTCAGATTGAAAATCTAATAACATCAACTTGTAGAGCAGGAAAAATAGCAATGGGAATGTAAAATTTGTATTGTCATATCTTTTCTAATATAGCAAAAAAAATAAAAAACTAAATCGGGAGAATTCAGTTTTTCCCATCAAATATTTTCTGAAGTGTTCGGATTTTTTAGAATTCGAAATTAATAATCTTTGTGTTGCAATTAATAATCTTGGACACCGTGTATATAACGTTAGGATTAAGTATGATTCTGGTGCTGGGGGTATAAATTCGTTATTAAATAACATTATTATCATCAAAAGAATATAGTAAAACCGAATTATAACGAGAAAACTTTCCTGGACTGGGTCGTTTTGAACTGGATGGCATGTTTGCATCAGCAGTTTACCATTAGCTGAAGAAGTATGATTCTCATGCTGGGGGGTATAAATTCCTTATTAAGTAACATTATTATCATCAAAAGAATATATTAAAATCGAATTATATCGAGAAAACTTTCCTGGACTGGGTCCTTTTGAACTGGATGGCATGTTTCCATCAGCAGTTTACCATTAGCTGAAGAAGTATGATTCTCATGCTGGGGGGTATAAATTCCTTATTAAGTAACATTATTATCATCAAAAGAATATATTAAAACCGAATTATAACGAGAAAACTTTCCTGGACTGGGTCCTTTTTAACTGGACGGCATGTTTGCATCAGCAGTTTATCATTAGCTGAAGAAGTATGATTCTCGTGCTGGGGGCTATAAATTCGTTTTTAATAACATTATTATCATCAAAAAAATATAGTAAAACCGAATTATAACGAGAAAACTTTCCTGGACTGAGACCTTTTGAACTGGATGGCATGTTTCCATCAGCAGTTTACCGTTAGCTGAAGAAGTATGATTCTCGTGCTGGGGGGTATAAATTCGTTATTAAATAACACTATTATCATCAAAAGAATATATTAAAACCGAATTATAACGAGAAAACTTTCCTGGACTGGGTCCTTTTGAACTGGATGGCATGTTTCCATCAGCAGTTTACCATTAGCTGAAGAAGTATGATTCGCATGCTGGGGGTATAAATTCCTTATTAAGTAACATTATTATCATCAAAAGAATATATTAAAACCGAATTATAACGAGAAAACTTTCCTGGATTGGGTCCTTTTGAACTGGATGGCATGTTTGCATCAGCAGTTTACCATTAGCTGAAGAAGTATGATTCTCATGCTGGGGGTATAAATTCCTTATTAAGTAACATTATTATCATTAAAATAAAATAGTAAAACCGAATTATAACGAGAAAACTTTCCTGGACTGGGTCATTTTGAACTGGATGGCATGTTTGCATCAGCAGTTTACCATTAGCTGAAGAAGTATGATTCTTATGCTGGGGGTATAAATTCCTTATTAAGTAACATTATTATCATCCAAAGAATATATTAAAACCGAATTATATCGAGAAAACTTTCCTGGACTGGGTTCTTTTGAACTGGATGGCATGTTTGCATCAGCAGTTTACCATTAGCTGAAGAAGTATGATTCTTATGCTGGGGGGTGTAAATTCGTTATTAAGTAACATTATTATCATCAAAAGAATATATTAAAACCGAATTATAACGAGAAAACTTTCCTGGACTGGGTCCTTTTGAACTGGATGGCATGTTTGCATCAGCAGTTTACCATTAGTTGAAGAAGTATGATTCTCATGCTGGGGGGTATAAATTCCTTATTAAGTAACATTATTATTATCAAAAGAATATATTAAAACCGAATTATAACGAGAAAACTTTCCTGGACTGGATCCTTTTGAACTGGATGGCATGTTTCCATCAGCAGTTTACCATTAGCTGAAGAAGTATGATTCTCATGCTGGGGGTATAAATTCCTTATTAAGTAACATTATTATCATCAAAAGAATATATTAAAACCGAATTATAACGAGAAAACTTTCCTGGACTGGGTCCTTTTGAACTGGATGGCATGTTTGCATCAGCAGTTTACCATTAGCTGAAGAAGTATGATTCTCATGCTGGGGGTATAAATTCCTTATTAAGTAACATTATTGTCATTAAAATAATATAGGAAACCCGAATTATAACGAGAAAACTTTCCTGGACTGGGTCATTTTGAACTGGATGGCATGTTTGCATCAGCAGTTTACCATTAGCTGAAGAAGTATGATTCTCATGCTGGGGGTATAAATTCCTTATTAAGTAACATTATTATCATTAAAATAATATAGTAAACCCGAATTATAACGAGAAAACTTTCCTGGACTGGGTCATTTTGAACTGGATGGCATGTTTGCATCAGCAGTTTACCATTAGCTGAAGAAGTATGATTCTCATGCTGGGGGTATAAATTCCTTATTAAGTAACATTATTATCATCAAAAGAATATATTAAAACCGAATTATATCGAGAAAACTTTCCTGGACTGGGTCCTTTTGAACTGGATGGCATGTTTGCATCAGCAGTTTACCATTAGCTGAAGAAGTATGATTCTCGTGCTGGGGGGTATAAATTCGTTATTAAGTATCATTATTATCATCAAAAGAATATATTAAAACCGAATTATAACGAGAAAACTTTCCTGGACTGGGTCCTTTTGAACTGGATGGCATGTTTCCATCAGCAGTTTACCATTAGCCGAAGAAGTATGATTTTCGTGCTGGGGGTATAAATTCCTTATTAAGTAACATTATTATCATCAAAAGAATATATTAAAACCGAATAATAACGAGAAAACTTCCCTGGACTGGGTCCTTTTGAACTGGATGGCATGTTTGCATCAGCAGTTTACCATTAGCTGAAGAAGTATGATTCTCGTGCTGGGGGGTATAAATTCGTTATTAAGTATCATTATTATCATCAAAAGAATATATTAAAACCGAATTATAACGAGAAAACTTTCCTGGACTGGGTCCTTTTGAACTGGATGGCATGTTTCCATCAGCAGTTTACCATTAGCCGAAGAAGTATGATTTTCGTGCTGGGGGTATAAATTCGTTATTAAATAACATTTTATCATCAAAAGAATATATTAAAACCGAGTTATAACGAGAAAACTTTCCTGGACTGGGTCATTTTGAACTGGATGGCATGTTTCCATCAGCAGTTTACCATTAGCTGAAGAAGTATGATTCTTGTGCTGGGATGTAACAATTTCTTAATATATTGATATTGTATGACTTGATTTGATTTTTCTTTGACAAATCTAATTCAATTTTTATAGCAAAACTTTAAACATCTACAAAACTATAGTAGGAAAAAAATCCAGTATAATGTTGCTATATAATAATGTTAAATAATTAATTAGGGAAAATTTGTATTTGTTGCGATACTTGTGATAACTTGTGATAAATTAAACTAAGTAAGTAAAGATAATTTTTTAAAAAGTTCAAGAGAAAACAACAATAAATCAATAATTTTAATAAATTATCAACAGAAAAAAAAATAATTTCATTATATTTGAACCAGATCATAGCAATGAATATAAATAACTTTCACTATCTGTCAGTTTGTGCAATAGTTGGGTTTTACGAGTAAACTTACTATAATGAATACAGAATACGAAATACGAACATAGAATAGGTATAGAATTATATTTTATTCTTTTGTGATCCAACTGCCTGTTGATGTCTCTGAAGCTAGAGGCTATATAGAGCCCCTTAGAAGACATTTAATGAAATAATAATATATGAACAGTCAAATAAATACTTTATTCGATAAATCAATTAATAAATTATTAATTATTCTAGACTATAGGGATGCAAAGAAGCTTTAAAAAAAGAATGATGACAATAAATCAACGGTTAAAAGTCTATATGTCGGTCTCAGTTACTAACTGAGATACTTACTTACTAATAATAACTACATTTTCCATCTGAGTCTTGTCTATACATAACATTTTACATGTAAGTAAAATATTATGTATAGATAAGAGTCAGATGGAAAAGGAAAAAGAAGTCGAAAAGAAAAAACATACAATTTTACTAAAAATTGTATATTTACGGTTTAACTTTCATTTGTAAACTCAAAATAAGCTATCGTTTGGTAATAATCAATGTAAACAGTTTTGTAAAATTTCATTATTTGTGAATCTATGCAAAAATATTAGATTTTTAAATTCGCTTGATACGTTTTGACTGCCACGTAAAAACCTTACGTGTAGACGGGCCTTTATATTTATAATAGGGTTATACTCTTAAAACTAGTTTCTTTATTCCAATAACTTTTTACTTTAAAGAAGACTAAGTGAACTTTTTAAGACTCTTTCTGATTCGTCCTTGCATTATATTGAATAGAAAATTAATTTATTTGACTCGAACATTATGAATCACAAAATATACAAGAGTGCCTACGACATTGAAAGAAAAATAAAACAAGTTTTCGCCACATATTTAACTCACCTAAAACTAACACAGTGCAAACGAAAACATTAAACAAACCCACTGCTTTCATTGTAGCGAATTATCAAGTTAACAATAGTTTTTCACAAGTTTCTACAGTCATTTTATCGCGGGAAATTCCGAGTTTTCTCGAACGACGTTTCGCTATCACACTAATTTCGTCTTCCTCAGGCGAATTGCGATCGAAAACTGGACTCTCGAGTACAACTGAAGAATGGGCAGGGTCCCCTCGAAGCGGGTTCTTTCAGTGTTGAATAGAAAGCGTTATTTTCGCGATCGATAGTTATAGCACTGACTATACGTAATTTTTACAGTTAATTTTGTAAAATACATTCATAGAAAAAAATTATATGAAGTTATGATTTTACAAGAGTGATTTTTTTTTCAATCTGGCAACTAGTTATGAAAAGTGCCAATAACTGGGATCCTCAGTGGACAAATTCACGCTTAATTACTCCTAACTGTGTCACGGATAAATAAATATCTTGCTCTAATATACAGTACTAACGTGTACCCGCGATTTCGTTCGCGTCGAATAAATCATATTTCAAAATATGTAAAAAACAAAATAAATTATCCGTGTCCAAGGGTTTTCCCGAAAGACTAACCGTTTTTTAAATAACAAATATTGTAATATTTAAGGGGCGTTTTCACCCTCTTGGAATTTGAGATTCGAGAAACCCCTTCTTATCGACCCTCTACACCCCACAGTCAATGTTTACCAAAAATCAGCTTTAAATGTCAAGCAATTTAAGCAGAATCGTGATTACTCAATGGTCATATTTTATAAAACACCCTGTATAATTTTTTAAAAAATCTTAAAATATGTAAAACAACAAAATAAAATATACGTGTTTAAGAGTTTTTCCGAAAAACTCACCGGTTTTTAATTAAAAAATATTCTAATATTTGAGGGGTGGTTTCACCCCCTTAGAATTCGAGTTTCTAAAAATCCCTTCTTATCGAACCTCTACACCCTAAAGTCAATCCGTTTTCCAAAAATCAGCTTTTTACGTCAAACGCTTTAAGCAGGATCGTGATTAATCAATGACCAGATTTTTCGAAACACCCTGTATACATTTTTAAAAATTCTTAAAATATGTAAAAAAACAAAATAAAATATATGTGTTTAAGCGTTTTTTCGGCAACTTAACCGTTTTTTAAATAAAAAATATTGTAATATTTGAGGGGTGGTTTCACCCCCTTGGAACTGGAATTTTGAAAAATCCCTTCTTATCGAACCTCTACACCCTAGAATCGACCTGTATGCCAAAATTGAGCATCTTACGTTGAGTGGTTTGAGCAGGATCGTGATTAATCAGTGAGTCAGTCACTTAAGGATTTTATATATTGGTATAGATTTCCCTGAATCGTGTTTACAAGAGGAAAACTTTTTATTATTAACTTTATACAGGGTGTCCCAGAATTATGTGCAGGTATTTCAACTGGTAGTATATTTCGGCCTCAGAAACACGCCTATGAGGAATTTTTTGAGAAAAAATTTTGGATTTTTTTTTAGTTTTAAGTTAAAAAACATAATTTCTTGATAATAGGGCGACATAGGTAGTAGCTTAAATTTACATAAAAGAAAATCCAGAAAAGATCAAGTGGTTCTCAAAATTTTAGCAAAAAATCATTATTTTTCGAAATTTTTAAAGTAAAATAACTTGGTTATTTTGGACTTATTTGAAAAACGGTAAAAAGAAAAAATGTTCCTTTTGACCACATCTGCCACCCCTTTAAATAATTGCACTTATTTCTGGGACACCCTGTATGAGAAAAATGCCTTCTATACAAAAGTTTTTAATTGTTCTAAAATTATTAGTCCCATTTATGCACTTATTGAAGGCTCACCCAGTATATTATAGAGTGTAAAAACGAAATGATATTGCCATAGAAATGTGTCTTAATTTTTAGGACTATGTTTTGGGGATTTTTTGGAAAAATTCGACTATATATTTTCATGTTTTTTTTTATTTTTTTCTCTAAAACGGTATGGAAATTTGGATAAGTATAAGTATAAACCGTATTAATAATTTTAGAACAAGCAAAACCGTTGTGAAGAATGCATTTTTCTCAAAAAAGTTAATAATAACAAAGTTTTTCCTTTTTTAAAGACGTGATCCGGAGATGGACTCTGTGTTTAGGGTCCGGCAATAGTGCGTCGGGCATCTGGAGCTACTGGAATAAAAAACTTGGGAATTTTCCTTTAAGTGAAAACCTAAAATATGTACTAAGATGTATTTCAGGAAAATATTTTAGCTTCTATAGGGTGGCTCAAAAAAGGGTGAGTGGATCGGGATATTTTTTTTTAAACCTAGCACCCTGTATATTTTTGCATTTTTGGCTTTCTTTTAGATCACTTTACATAATCCTAAGATATGAATAAATATATTTCGATAGTTTCATAGATATTAATAAATAATTAAAAAATATATATTTTTCAGCCTTTCTCAAAAAAAAAATATTAAAAATACAAAATACAGCTGTCCTAAAATCAAAACTACATATATTAAATATTTACATTAGATGGTCTGTACTTACTTTGTTATAAATATGGCAATTGTAAATCATACAGGACGTTCAAAATTCTACGCTAAACTTTCCAAAACAAAATAATTTTTCTTCGTTTTTTTTAAATGGAACATCCTGTATATTATTTTTTCAATAGATGAAGAATTAAAAAAGGAACATTTTTTGTATTTAAAGTATTTCAAAATTTTTGACGGTTTCGCAGATATTCGCGGTTTTATATTTCATATGGCATTTTCCATAGTAAATTTTTATCAAAGCCACCCAATGATTTTTCTCCGTTGAAAGAGCCATATGAAATAATACTGCGTGTATCTGCGAAACCATTAAAAAAATTTAAATACTTTAAATACAAAAAATGTTAATTTTTCAAAAATGTTCATTTTTCAGGGTGTTCCATTAAAAAAAGACAAAGAAAATTTATTTTATATTTTAGAAAGTTTGGCGTAGAATTTTAAACACCCTGTATGATTTAAGATTACGATATTTATAGCAAAGTAAGTATAGACAAGGTATAGACCCCATCTAAATTAAATATTCTGTTATAGTTTTGATTTCAGGAGAATTCTTGTATTTTTAATATTTTTTTAAGAAAGGCGGAAAAATAAATATTTTTTTTATTTATTTATTAATATCTCTGAAACTACGGAAATATATTTACTCATATCTTAGGATTATGTAAAGTGATCGGAAAAGAAGCCAAAAATGCAAAAATATACAGGGTGTTCCATTTTAAAAAAAATCATTCAGATCCACTCACACTTTTTTGAGCCACCCTACATAGAAGTTAAAATATTTTCCTGAAATACATCCTCGTACATACTTTATACTTTATGTCTGCATCTACACAAAATTCTCAAGTTTTTTATTCTAGGAGCTACAGATGCCCGACGCACTATTGCCGGACCCTGTATTACAGCAAGGTATTTAAATACTTCATAACAAATTACAATAATTTATAACAATGATGTTTAGTGCTACCTACAGCAAATTCAAAAAAAGTAATGGTATTTAAAAAAATTACAAAAAAATTGTTTAAAAAGTTTTAACATCCTGTATGTGCAAAACTATGCATTTCCGAATCTATCTTTTTTTCATATCTTGAGAAATCCGTGCATTTTTATAGAACACCCTGTACAGGGTGGCTCGAATTCGACACTCATCATTGGGATTTCGGAAACCGTAAGAGATACAGGATCGGTTAAATCAAAGATATTTAAACTCGTTTTAATTTTTTTTTTCTCCGTTTCCTTTCACTCCGTTTCCGTTTTTTTTTCGTCGAGTTTAAATATCTTTGGGTTAAATGAAGGTAAAGTTGCGCAATTTGATGCTCAATAAAATGTCGTATTGTATTTTTATTTTTTTTGCATAAAATATTCTAGTGATAAAATTTTCTGTACGAAACGTCGGCAAATATCAAAGTGACTATATATAGATTTTTAAGAGTGATGAAGGGATTTAATTAAATTGAAAAAAAAATCAGGTCCGTATTTAAAAAAATTAAGTTGATGATGGTCGCCATCAGAAGCCGAAACGTCAGAGTCAATATTTAATGACCCAGAGTTATAGAGCAGGAAAAGTGGTCATGAAAATGTGTTTTTCATTTTAAGATATCTTAACAAATAAAGCCAGGAAAAATAGAAAACAAAATTGAAAATTCCGTTTTTTTTCGAATATATTCGGCATTTTTCAAAATGCAATACGGCATTATATTGAGTATCAAAATTGCACAACTTTGCCTCCATTTAACCGATCCTGTATCTCGTACGGTTTCCGAAATCCCAATGATGAGAGTCGAATTCGAGCCACCCTGTACAGGGTGGCTCGCAAAACACCCTTTTCTTTAGGAGATAGACAAAAACTAATATCGGTGTCTGGAGCTCAATTTTTGTCAAAAACATTATGGTGAAAACCGCATATCGATATATGTTACCGTTTCGGAGTTACGGGGTGTTTTTCAAAAATATGCATTTTTAACAAATCCTTTGTAACTTTTTGCTATGGGAAAATGTTGTATTTTTTATGAAAACATTTCCAAAGCACCTTTTTACGTAGAATTTAATGGTTTAAGTATAATTTTTTTTAAATTAATAATTTAAGAATTATCAACAGAAAATTTTATTTTTTATATGGGACACCCTATATATTTTTAATTTATTGAAAATAATTTAAAATTACCTTTCCAAAAATATAGCTCACTTCATATTTTGCTCGATTCCTCTTCGAGATATAGAGTTTATAAAAATTCGCCCGCTTTAAACAAGTAGGCTTTGAACGGCACCGGCTGTAATGCAAAAAGATCTAGCTGTGAGCATCAATTAAAAAGAAAATAATATTTGCTATGAGAGGTGCAGAATTGTATAACAATTTAAAATATATTTAACCAACATCAGCACAGTTAAACTATATCTAATAACAATAAAAATAAATAGCAAACCAAGACATGAGATTTTGCTACAGGTGTTCGACATATCGACCCTCTTCTGTTATGGACAGACGGGGTAGTTTTTGAACATTTCTCGCGGAATTTATTAACTCAGTGGGGGTGAAAGATACCCTCTCTTAACTGCTAAGTATTTTTAATTCTTGTCTAGATTATACGGAAGAATAAGGAACCTTTATTCTTCCGCAAATATATCCATAGGATTAGATCCATGGGCACTAAGTCAGGAGGCCTCGAAAGCCAACGGCTGGGATCTTGGTTAGCTATTCAATTATTCTTGAAATTGGCTGCAAAAATTTGCAGATAACTTCAGCGTTCAGAGGCGGTGTGTCGTCTTGCTGGAAAAATATGTTTTCGAGTTCCATTAAGGGCAAATCATCAATAAGGGGTCCAAAGTTCCAAAGCCTACTAGTTGAAAGTGGCGAACTTTTAAAAATTCTGTCTTTCGAAGGGGATTATAACAAAACATCAAGTGTGCTAAATTTTTGGAAAGATAATTTTAAATTCTTTTCAGTTAATTAAAAATATAGCGGGTGTCCCAAATAAAAAAATATTTTTTCTGTTGATAACCCTTAAATTATTAACTTTAAAAAAATTATACTTAAACCATTAAATTCTACGTAAAAAGGTGCTTTGGAAATGTCTTCATAGAAATACAAAATTATCCATAGCAAAAAAGTTACAGCGATTTGTTAAAAATGCACATTTCTGAAAAACACCCCGTAACTCCGAAACGGTAACAGATATTGATGTGCGATTTTCACCATCATATTTTTGATGAAAATTGAGCTCCAGACACCGATATTAGTTTTCGTCTATCTCCTATAGAAAAGCGTGTTTCCATTAAAAAGCGTCGAATTTGACCCACCCTGTACAGACCTATTTTTCTGTACAAAAATGTCCTTTTTTTCATTCAATATTTACATTTATTGTTAACAGAGACCACCACGAAGTCAAAAAGACACAAAAATGCGTCTTAAGGGATCTATACCTTCCTTGCGAAAACTTCCAAAAATCACTTCGTCTCTTGACAACGGTTTTTACCTGACCAGGATCGAATATTTTCTGCTTGTACCTACCTGTCTAGAAAATTATTGTAATCTCGACCAAGGGGGCTCTGAAGTGATTAAGTTAATGTAGTAACGTCTATTAAATGTAGGGATACCTACACACAGGCACACATTCTTTCCCACAGTTTTTGACCAGTTTTTTTCTTCAATGAGAAATTATTTCCTTAAATTTGGGAGCCGTGTATTATAATAGGTATAGGGAGAGAGCTTAAAAATTCAGTCGTATTGTATAAAATTGTTATGTAAATATATTTTAGTTTCTTACTTTTACCAGGATTTAAACCACAAAATAGAGTATTCAATCATAATTTGACATAACCGGATTGTTTTAAGTTGTTCTGACATTTAGAGTCAAAGGCTACTACTTAAAATTATGCGTGAAGAAATCCTTAAAATTAAACCCTAAATAACTTGAAAACAAGTTACTTTAGCTATAGGAACTTGATATATGAAAAAAAGAAATAAAATTGGAACTGGTTTTTATTTGAAAATAATAAGTTATGAAAATTTGTTGATTAATTAATTCGCTACAACAAATGACATATTATGAATCTTTCGAAATTTTGTTTTTGAAATAAATATCCTTGTTTTTAGATACAGAGTGTTTGCAGCTTGTTTGTACCGATCACTAACTTAGACATTTAAGTTATAAGAATTTTCTTTGGCATACAATTTTTATTTCTAAAAATTTTTAATGTTTTAAGTGTTTGATACCAAAATTCATAAAATCGAGATAATATATCTCTTTTAAATTAAGAGAGTTTCTGTCAAATTTGGTTGCTCCCAAAAGTGACGCAATATTATTGAAAATCTCTTTAACGCCTTTTGATTGTATTAAAAGTCTTCGATCTGGATATTTTAGTTCTCTAGAAACTTTCTAATGCATGCAAGCTTATATAGCCAAGGACGCACTCTGTATATGAATTCATTCCAACTCAGCTGTATAATTTTTTAAGGTTTGAGTTAAAACTAATATTTCTTTTGTACAAGAATTACGAATAGTATAACTGTATAGGTAAATATAGTTAAAAAGAAATTTAATTATACTGGAATGTGGTACACTCAAAGAAACAGTAAAATAATTGGAAAAATTCCCTCTTATCATCGTAAAAATCTCTCTATTTCTTGATTTAAATAAAAACTAATGATAGTTTTACTGCATATTTGCAATTTCAAGCTGTATTTTTATTATAATAAACTGGGAAATAATTCAAATTATTGAATTATTTTCCAAATTTTCAAAAAAATTGGTGACATAAGGTGTATATTTGGTTTCCTATAATTTTTTAGAATATTAATTTCAGGTAATTTACCTTTTCTCTGATTACACATTATTACATTACAGTACAATAATTTGTATATTATGTGATACAAATAGTTAGATTTAATAATATTCGGTTTATTTTTGAGTAACTAATATATCTTTTGTATTTTTTACTGTTGATTCTACATAATAACATACACCAGCCTATTTAATACACTAAACTAGCCTATAATCGAAAAAAAAAAACGGCCCTCAGTTGGCTGGGAAATGACGATTCTTCATCTGTCTTCATTTCACAGCCATTGTCAGTTTTTTCGACCAAGTTGTATAAAAAATGATTTTTATTATCAACTCTGAAATAAGTTAAAAACAAAAACTTACAGTGACAAATTTTTAAATTAGCATAGAAACTTCTATTTCAATTGTGTATTACCTTTTTCTTGATGATACTTCTTTCCTTTATGTAGCAACTTTGTTGGCCAATAGATAGATTATTATTATTAAATAGGCATTTGTACAAAATGAAACTTCTTCCAATGTATTTTCAAGAAAAAAAAAACTAAAGACATACAGAAGTACAAATTAAACTCAACTGTTGTTTTTTATAAACATTTTATTTTAAACAGACTTATAAATCTACGTGGATTTCTTGGCTGCTGGCTTGCCTTCACGGAATCCGTTACGGAAACGTCTACGTACGATTTTCAGGTGGCGAAGACGGCCAGTTCCAGTGGTCTTCCTCCTTTTAGCCTTGATCGACCAGTTGTCTATAAAGAAAACACAAAAATAAGCACTATTTTGATAAAATTAATCAAAAATGTAGATCAGACAAAGTAGTTTTTGCTTTTCTATAAATTCTTAACAATAATAATTACTTGTTAACACAAAAAGCAGCATCAAATGCTAATGTTCAAAGTTATAGTGATCAGTCAACATGAGAAAACCGTTTGTTTATTAAATAATATAGTTTAAAAACTTCTATATTACAACAACATAAAAACTAACGTTACACAAAAAAGAGTCAAGAATCTGTATCATTAGACATCTTGTTCAAATTGTCTGGTTCGAAGAATAAGTATTTTTAAGGTGTAAAAAAGAATTGACTTACAGGAACGCATTTTAGCTGATGGGTATCCACACTGGGCACATTGTGACTTCTGGATGTGGTAGGAAGACCTTCCACACCTTCTGCAAAGTGTGTGGGTCTTGTTACGGCGTTTACCAAAACTTGATGTACCTTTAGTCTAAAATAAAAACAATTCTCGTTAAAATTGTATTAGTTTATTTGCTTACCTTGATATTTTGATCAATAGAACTTAGTATAAACACTTATTTCTTTGTGTATAACAAGGTATTAAAGTTTTTTACTAAAATACTGGAAGCTTCCTCAAAAGTTTTAAGGTTATCAACAAAGTTTCTCTATTTATATATCCGAATATAACAAAATATCACTTGAAATATAAAATGCACACTTTAGTTTACAAACTCCTGTTTAAATTAATATTTTTTTTAAAAAGATGGATTAAATAATTAAAGAATTTTATTGAAAATTTCGTAAACCTACCATTTTTTATTTTGGTACACAAAAAGAGAATTAGATTACTGTTTTATCGGCTTCGTGCTGTCAGCAGTGTTGTTACAAGGGCAAACATTTTTGTACTATAAATGGTGTCGAAATTGTACTTTTTTAAGTGGGATTGTACATTTTTGGTGGAAAAATGTGTGTTATGTGCTCTTACCCTCTTTATTTACCAAGTTTTGGTACGTCTAACGTCTAAAGACAGAGTTCAGGTAGGATTAAGTAAGGTATTCGAAACTAATAGTCGCCGACACGTTGGCATTATTTGAAATGCAGGTCGCATAGGAGCATGCCACCTGATGGGAGGATGCAACCTCATAGGAGTATGATCTGAATTAAACCCTCTGTTCCTAGCAACCTGCATTTCAAATCCACGCATCGCATATCACCGTTCGTCTAAAAATGCATATGTATATGTGGGTTTAAGTTTAGGTTAGTTTTGGTTTGAGAAGTAATAATTGTACATTTTTTCTTGCAATTGTACCTATGTACTCCTTGACTATCAAATGTACCCAAAATAGTACAATTGTACCTATTGTAACAACACTGGCTGTCAGTTTTTGGGACATTTGAACTATTTTTACTGACATAAATTAGAGACATCTATCTATAAATTTGAATATTTTGCTTAAAAGTTCCGCTACTAGACAGCAGATGTCAGCACTAAAATTATTTTCATAAAATTTTTCTTTATATTTTAAAATAAAGTAAATAAATAGTTCTCTAATAATATTTAGAATATTTCTTTAAATTTCATTTAATATTGATAGTGTTACTAATAAGAGAAAACATACTTTTAACAGCTATTACAAATTATTATTTAGATTGTAATTTTATTACGCAAATGTTTAAAAAAATAAATATTCTAAAGAAAAAAAAACTTTTAAAACTTGAGGGTGGCATATTCTTACTATCTGTATGCATAGAATATATAAAAATTCTTGTTTAAATAAAATTAAACTAAAAAAAATTAACTGTGTCAATTTTTTGCTTTGGTAGGCAACCAAACATACTGCATCTAGCTTTCCCATCAAGCGCCTTCTTCAAAATCGACATAGAGTTCGAAAAACGCGCAATTTCTAAACGTAAACCGATAAATAACGGCCGAAAAAAATAAATAAATAAAATTCGAACGCTGCCTACTGACAGTTACGAGTTGGAGAGCATTGTAATATGTTCGAAAATGTTTTGGGATCAACTGAAAATTCTAAAAATAAATGGGCAGCTCATTCCGACACATAAACACGGATCGCCGCATAGTTTGCCCGAGATGAACTCACTTAAGTCACAGAATTATGCGAATCTTTGATTTCGAGAGTGCCTTGCAGATTGTCAACTATTTTTTAGTGAAAAAAACGTCAAAAAATGAACGTTTTAAGCTTAGTGACGATGTTTTTATCGAAACAACATGACAAACTTACGAGAAATACTTGAAACTCGAAAGTGAGTCACGGAAACTCTATTTTTAAAGTGAATTTAAGTGATTTTACAAGCGTATTGTGAACCCGTGTGATAGACTTGTTGGAGTTACCTACTTTAAAACGCTCTTTAACACACATGCCCGTGTGATTGATGTGAGTAACAGATGTATGTCATACTTCGAATGTTTTCTTACAATTTATAAAAATAAGTGGCTTGAAATCGGCTTCTTATTTAATCTATTAATAAAGATATTCGAAAAATGTTTCTACAAATGCTATTTTTATAAATTTAGTTTATTTAAAATCGATTTCACAGTAAGCTAAATCCTTTGTATTTGCGCTGATTGGTTTATGGCAATATTTTTCGAATGCTTGGTTTGTTTTCCCTTGCATGTTTCTTATAAACATCTTAAAAATAGATGATTCTTAGATAAATTGATACTTTTTCTTTAGACAAAAACTGTTTTAAAATGAAACACATATATGTAAGTCAGGAACAGTCGATCTTCAAGTTCACAAAGTTTTTTAATGTCCAAAATTATTTGTGTGAAACAACTCACATAAATATATGTGAGTTGTATACATATAAGTAATAACATAAGAGCCCTGTATACAGGGTTGTTCACCACATACGACATGGAGTATTGTAGCTAAACGATTAGATTTTTACAAATTGTAAGTTTTGGGTTCGTTGAAGGACTATTAGAGCTACAATTTAAAAATATTTGTATAAGATACAGAGTGTCCCAGATAAATAAAAAATATCAAAGTTGTATTTTTTTAAATGGATCACCCTGTATATTATTACATTTCTAGTTTCTACGATTAAAATAAAGGTAAATTTAATTAAGGTTAATTACACTTAAACCGTTTTTGAAATATTTTCATTTTTGTGAAACTGCAGCAAAAATTTAAAGGCTTCATTTCTCCAAGGGTATCAAAGTTTTTAATACTAAATATTTACTGAAGTTTATTTATTGATCAGTTATTGTGTTGCAATAATAAAAATAATACTACCTCATACAGAGTGTCTAAAAATTTATTTTAAATAATTTCTAGTTATAAACGTTAATAACTTGTTTAATTTAAATAGGACGCCCTGTATATTTTAGGAGAATCAGATGCACAATTTAATTGTCTATCAAATTGTATTATACCATTTTTACCTATCCTTTCAAGTTTTCGTAGAAAATGCATTTTCTTATAAATTAGACCTCATTTATCAACATACCTACGGAATATTGACAGGAATATTGACATTGATGTACAGTCTAGTACTATTATCGTTTTTAGCAAAACGTTAATATTACTAGCCCATTTGTATGTAAAAAGAAAACTATTTAAATCTTTATAAAAGAGTATACCATTAATTAAGTATACCACCCATTATTTCCGCCCAAATACTAATTAATAACATACTTAATTGTGTTCGTTAATAAAGTATTCTAAATAAATGTGGATTTGAATCAGAAATCAATATAATAATATGTTATGAAAATGAACTCTCTGTTGTAATAAATAAGCATTTGTCAAAAAATGAAATATCATTTTTAAGGTGTTACTTTTTACACACTGTCTAATACACATACAAAATTCAGTTTTTTAGTATTTGGAGCAATTATTATTAACCAATGCAAACAGTCAATTAATGTAGTTTGGATACAGGAATCATATTAATTGGTCCTATTTAACAAATAATTAAACAGATTTTTAATTTTTTTAATGAAATAAACGAACTATATCGACAATATTAGTATCTGTGCTCTGATTAGTAAAATTTGGTATATCTTTAAAAATAGTCTAAAATGTCAGTATTCCATGGGTATATTGATAAATGAGTTCAAAATTACAAGAAAATGCATTTTCTACGGAAACTTAAAGAGATAGGTAAAAAATGGTATAATACAATTTGATAGACAATTATATTGTGCATCTGATTTTCGTAAAATATACATGGTGTTCCATTTAAATTAAACAAGTTATTGTAGTTTAAAGCTAGTAATTATTTAAAATAAATTTTTAAACACTCTGTATAAGGTAGTATAATTTTTATTATTGCAACACAAAATTCAGTAAATAGAAATACTTCAGTACAATATTTGGTTTAAAAAACTTAAATAGGCTAAGAGAAATGAAGCATTAAAATTATTACTGTATTTTGACAAACACCTAAATATTTCAAAAACGGTAAAGTTTAAGTGTGATAAACCTTAATCAAATTTACCTTTATTTTAACCGTAGAAACTAATAATATACAGGGTGTTCCATTTAAAAAAAATACAACTTTGATATTTTTTATTTATTTGGGACACTCTGTATCTTGTAAAAATATTTTTGAATTGTAGCTCTAATAGTCCTTCAACGAACCCAAAACATACAATTTGTAAAAATCCGATCGTTTAGCTACAATACTCCGTGTCGTATGTGGTGAACAACCCTGTAGAATATACAAGAGAAAGAAATTGTCCATTTTTATTACCCAGTTTTTTACTGAAAAGTTACAAGCATCTTTAAGCCCCGTTTGGACATAACGGTTTACCTGACGTTTTAAGCTTGATTTTCATGCATCCGTTGGCCGAGGATACGATGATACGATATTAATTTTATTGGTTGAATTTAAAGACTTCGATTGATTGGAAAATTACGCAGTTTTTAAATTTATTGCATTTTCATGCCCCCGTTCATCGGATATACGATTTGCTTGTAATTGCTGGTGTTTTTTTATATTTTCATTTCCATAAAGATTTAGCTGTTACTTATAGCAGAGTACGTAGATCGCCGAGTAGCGACAGAAACCGTCGGCTCTTTTGATGTGGTGGGACCAAATTTTCTTTCTCTCTCTTTTGACGTGTTTGACAGATAGACTACGTATTTAACTGCTCAACTTATGAAGTGGTCCTATAAACATGGTATACACTGCTCACAATTTGAAGTGGAATTAATTATAAAGTTTTATACATATCTTTTTTGTTTTGTTTTATCCTTATTTCTAAATTTGAATGTATAAAATATCTTACTGCTAATAAATAATTAAAAAAACGATTCGTTGCCTGAGGTATACTTGAAATAAAGTATATAGAGATATTTGATAAATGACAACAGTGGCAACTTCGCTTCTTCGTATGACAGATAACCTACTTATTTCGCGCAGCCGCAAAGAAAATTGAAAACGGGACTGTCGCTACTGGTCGGTTTAGGTACTCTGCTTATAGTCTACTTCGCTTACTTATAGTCTAAAAGCTAGCAACGTTTTAGAGAGAGAATTTTAAGAAAGCTGGTTCTTTAATATATCTTTTGCTATGCTCTCCTGAACAGAATGCGGACCGTCTCACTGCCTTTCACTACTGCGCATCATATTTGTATTCAACATCTTTTTACTACCGCGCATCACAAATTCGCTCTGTATTTCAAGAACTAAGGAGGCTAGGACAAACATATGTGTAGCATATTTAGTTTCATACGAGCAATAACTCGTAAATCAATTCATAAACGAGAAATCCTATAAACTATACGAAAATGGGATCCCCGTACAGGGTGGGTCAAATTCGACGCTTTTAAATGGAAACACCCTTTTCTATAGGAGATAGACAAAAACTAATATCGGTGTCTGGAGCTCAATTTTTGTCAAAAACATGATGGTGAAAACCGCATATCGATATCTGTTACCGCTTCGGAGTTACGGGGTGTTTTTCAAAAATATGCATTTTTAACAAATCACTGTAACTTTTTTGCTATGGAAAATTTTGTATTTTTATGAAAACATTTCCAAAGCACCATTTTACGTAGAATTTAATGGTTTAAGTATAATTTTTTTAAAATTAATAATTTAAGAATTATCAACAGAAAATTTGATTTTTTATATGGGACACCCTGTATATTTTTAATTTATTGAAAAGGATTTAAAATTACCTTTCCAAAAATATAACACACTTGATACTTTGCTCGATTCCTCTTCGAGATATAGAGTAAGTAGGCTTTGAACGGCACCGGCTGTAATGCAAAAAAATTCTAGCTGTGAGCATCAATTAAAACGAAAATAATATTTGCTATGAGAGATGCAGAATTTTATAACAATTTAAAATATATTTAACCAACATCAACACATTTAAACTATATCTAATAACAATAAATATAAATAGCAAACCAAGACATGAGATTTTGCTACAGGTGTTCGACATATCAACCTTATATATGTTATGGACAGACGGGGCAGTTTTTGAACATTTCTCGCGGAATTCATTGACTCAGTGGGGGTGAAAGATACCCTTTCATAACTGCTAAGTATTTTTAATTCTTGTCTAGATTATACGGAAGAATAAGGAACCTTTATTCGCAAATATATCCATAGGATTAGATCCATGGGCTCTAAGTCAGGCGGCCTCGACGGCCAACGGCTGGGATCTTGGTTAGCTATCCAATTATTCTTGAAATTGGCTGCAAAAATTTGCTAATAACTTCAGCGTTCAGAGGCGGTGCGTCGTCTTGCTGGAAAAATATGTTTTCGAGTTCCATTAAGGTCATATCATCAATAAGGGGTCCAAAGCCTACTAATTAAAAGTGGCGAACTTTTAAAAATTCTGTATTTCGAAGAGGATTATAACAAAATATCAAGTGTGCTATATTTTTGGAAAGGTAATTTTAAATTCTTTTCAGTTAATTAAATATATAGAGGGTGTCCCAAATAAAAAATCAATTTTTCTGTTAAACCATTAAATTCTACGTAAAAAGGTGCTTTGGAAATGTTTTCATAGAAATACAAAATTTTCCATAACAAAAAAATTACAGCGATTTGTTAAAAATGCACATTTTTGAAAAACACCCCGTAACTCCGAAACGTTAACAGATATTGATATGCGGTTTTCACCATCATATTTTTGATGAAAATTGAGCTCCAGACACCGATATTAGTTTTCGTCTATCTCCTATAGAAAAGGGTGTTTCCATTTAAAAGCGTCGAATTTGACCCACCCTGTACAGATGTAATATTATATAAAATATCATATTAATAAAAACTTTACATAATATTTAAAGCTTTACATAATTTACAATTTATTACAATAAAATAAATAAAAATGCTGTTTTGTCTGACTGAAAGTTTATTTATTACAAGAAACATTTAAAGGAACAAACATGCCCATGATACACTACTAGAATTTCAATTTAAAACAATATAAAATGGATATTTAACTCTTATAATGGATAAGTGTTAAAATACGACCGGACCATAGCAAAATAAACAACACTAAAAATACCCTATGTAGGTTTTCAAAATCGCAAATAGCTTATTTTTCCAATCTCAAGCTATATTGAACTATTTTAATATATAATTTTTATATAACCATGTTTAGTTTTTTTGGTTGTTTAATTAAAATAAAATCAGAGAAATTGAGAAATTAAAGCATTAGATAATTTTAATTTTATTACAAAAAATCTTTTAATTCTTCATTTTTTTTATTTTTTAATTTACAAAGCTAATATCTTTCTTCTCTCTTTTCATCACTCACTTTTATTAAGTAGGTAGCTAATAATACCACAGCTTGTTTAGTACCAGCTGGTCTATCACCTGTGGTTATGATATTATGTTATTAATGGAAATATATTTCTCATAAAATTCCCCATAAAATGGAAAAATATTTCTTGCAGTTTTCAGATATATAAGAAAATTATATAAGAGTTTCTTGCCTTGAATTTCTATATGAGCAGTTCAAGGCAATAAACTCTTATATATTTTTATTATATTAATTTTTATATTAACAATTTGTTTTAAGAACTGAAACAAGGTAGACACAAGATGATGTTCACTGGGAGTTCAGTAAACAAACAGAGGAAAAGCTCTAGTGGGGACAAAAGAAATGGCGAAAGGAGAAGATACAATGGAAAAAACACTCGGTATAGTGATTTGGGTGATAATTCAGGTACTAAAGTAAGTTTCCTCTTCATATAAAATATATTATCTCTTTTCTATTCTTTTCTTTTCTAATCTTTCTTTTTGGAAAAGACTCAAGTCGTTAAAAAGATTTAAGTCTTTTTATAAAAGACTTAGTCATTAATAGTTATTTTTTATACAAGACCGAAAAGATTAATTCTTTTTAATTTTATTGTCGTGTATAAAAAAATATTTTTTTCCATAGCGAGTTACATTTTAAAAAAATATTCAGAAATTATTATTTCAAGGAATTTATTACGAAAAAATGAATATTGTGCTGGGTTGGCGTTGGTTTCTATGTAATTTGACAAATAAATAAAGCTGTCTATTTAGTTGTCAGTTTTGAGTCAATATTTTTATTTCTCTTTCGTGTCGATTGCTGATTGAATTGGAGCCAGAAATGGCTCAAAACAGATATTCAGGCTGAGGCGACAAACGCCATATCCAAACTACTTCCATTTAAACCCAGAATAACTTATAAAAAGGAATACAAAAAATCGTTCTCGAAAAAAAAAAATCATTATAATTCATACAGACCATTGAAAACAAATCCAATCAAGCTATTCAGTTGATTTAATCCATATGTTGCACGTAAAAATGTTGTGTGTACTATAAGAAATATCTAGCCCAGATTTATTTTATTATGGTACTATAAACAAACATCAACATTAAGTATCGTACGTTGTAACATGATATTAGTCCTCAAATGAATGTTAATTATATTAACTAACATTATAAAATTTTACAAACATGTTTATTTAGGATTAGGGATTCATTTTCATACTAATCATAAAACACTTAGATAAGCTCTCATCTTAAATCCCAACAAAATCAGCATAACATTTTAATTCCTTTAGTAAAAGATTTGAATGTTTTAACAGTGTGTTTTTTAAAAAAAAAATAGATTCATGGTAAACCTAGAGTACCCAGGCACCATAATATGGTACAAAAAATGAGCCAGTCTGATGGGATGGTTTCCTATAGTCTTGGAGGTTCATCAACCAGTCCATTGATGCCAAATCCTTTCGAAGTTGAAAGGGACAGGCCTGAGAATGATTTTTCGAAGATTTTCGGAAGGGAGATCAACAGAAGAAGAGGTGCTGTCAAACATCAAAGGTAAGGATATACAGTGTGACCAAGAAAAGTGACCAATTGGATTAAATGAATTTTATTCCAATATAGAAGGTGTCCCAGAAATAAGTGCAAATATTTTAATATTTTCTTTTGAAAATTCGGAATTTTTTGAAATTTTTTTTGGAATTTTTTTTAGTTTTTATTTAAAACAAAATAATTTCTTGATAATATGGCAACATACGCTTACGTAGTAGATTAAATTTACAAGAAAGAAAATCCAGAAAAGATCCAGTGGTTCTCAAAATTTTAGCGAAAAATCATTTTTTTTTAGAAATTTTCAAAGTAAAATAACTCCGTTATTTTGGACTTATTTGAAAAACGATTAAGAGAAAATATGTTTCTTTTTTCGAGATCTACCACCCCTTAAAATACTTGCACTTATTTCTGGGACACCCTGTATAACGTCTCATTATTCGTCGTATACAAGTTTTCTTAAAGGAAATAAATATGTACATCAAAAGGATACAAATAAATTTTCTAACAAAAAATCAAATTAATATTTATTTCTCCACATATGGGGTGAGCCTTAAATAATGGCACATATTTTTAGGACGTTATACTTCAATCCCGGAAACACGTCTGTGATATTTTGCTTCGCCAATAAATATGAAAATTTTAAATTTTTCAAATTTTGTTTTTATTTTTTTTAATTTTCAATTTCTTTTTTTTTTGTTATTCTTTTTAATTTTCAGTTAACCCTTTATAGGGCAGTACTAATTATTTTCTAGTTTGATCAAATAGACTTCAAAAATATATAAACTAGCATAAAGGGAGCATATCTTCTTAATAACATTTGTCAAAAAGTTAACAAATAAGGGAGTGGGAGGGTGGTGGTCGATTTTTCAACCAGAGACTGTTAAAGAAAATAGATAATATATAATGATCTAATATATTATATAATGTACAAACTGTATACCGGGTGTTGCATCGTCGGACGGGACATAGGAAATCCCATGTAAATTTTAATGGGGTCAATTATTGGCTTCCCTAATTATTTTAGAGAATAATTCTATTTAGGTTTATTGAAGAGCACTAAAACCCACATTTCAAAAGAATAACTTTTTTAAATATTTCTCCTTTCGTATGGCCGTGTATTTACTTATGAGCACCAGTCAAGGTAAAAGATAACTGTCAAATGAAGTTGTCATTTCAGAAATTTATCTTGATTTATTAATACAATTAATATATTATTTTTATTAATACTTGTTATACTAGTTCTTTAAAAAACGGCAAAGAGAATATATATTATTACTTTTATCGATATCTACCAGCCGTAAAAATGCACTTACTTAAGACTCGCCCTGTATAATCCAAGCCTCGATCCAAGCAATATTTATATTACTCCTTTTTTATTTAAATCAGTTTATTGCATTTTTCTTTGCATTATTAAAAATGAATTAAGCCACTATAATCTATAGTTATAAAAAACCACAAAATTCTTTCAATTTCTAATAAAATTCTTTATGTAGATTTTTCTACGAAATCAATGTAAAAGAAAAGGTAATTTCTTGGAGATTACGCAATACTTTACGATATAAAACTGATTTTTATTACTGAGTTAACAACATAAATAAATTAAATTTATTTATTTATAAAAATTTTAAAGACTGTTTTGTCTGTTGAATTGTTATTTTAACCTTGCTATGCACAGATCACAGATTTAAACAGTTTGCAAAAAATATATAGATATTCTTACAAAAATAGTTTATTTGACTAATACTTTTTAGTATAAAATTAAACTTAACTTTTCAAAGGTAGAAAGAAGTAAAATTATGTTTTTTTTTCAGAGATGTTCTTTATAGCAATAAACGTTTCGTAGTGAAGCGATTAAAGAAACTCATGCTTTTTCATCAAATGTGACTTATAACACATTAATCAAGCTAATTTAGATCCCTACATTACCGGATTTATTTAGTTCGGGTTAGAATGTGCTTGATCAATCCTAAAAAATATATATTTTGCCTGTTCTGGAAGCTCGAAGTACAGCCTGAGACGAAAAAAAAACGATAGCGCACTGATATTTTTCTGATAATTTAAAAAATTTTTTTTTTTGAAAATTCAAATAAATTTAGTTTTTTCAAGTCAGAAAAGTATTAATTTTTGCCACGGGATTGACAATGTAAAAACGTCATTTTAACGCTTAGGTATTAAAGTAAAGCACTTTTACGCCTAAGTATACGAAAATATATATTATCAAACTGACATAAAGTTTCAAATTCATGGAGTGTAACCATAGTTTTCGATATATAGTTACTTACAAGGTATTACTCTTTAATTTTTTTATATTATATGAAATGTTTAAAATTGTTTAAAAAATTATTTGTTACGTTTGAAAAATATAGCATGTTCTATTCAGAGTAAAAATTACTTTTTGTGCCTTGTTTGTGATGTCAAACGTACAGTCTGACTACAAAAGTATCATTTTTACTCGTAATAAAACAATATACTATTTTTTCGTCAGTATTGAAACCAGTCAAATATCAAATTCACTTAGAATTAACTAATTATATATCTTTTTTGCATTTTTTCTTTTACTTACAAAATAATTAGGATACGTCAATTTGACTTTATGAGGTGTTTCAGTAGCGTATTTGATATTTTGGTTATTAAATAATTATATTATAACTTATCTCTTTTTCTTAAAATACTACGTATACTTCGTTCGCGTCGAATTAATCATTTGTAATGGTGATGATAAAGCAAAGCAAAAATTTCCATTAACATACAAACTGGATAAAATTTTCTCATATTTATGTCAGCATGAGAAAAACAATCGAGAAACCCCTCCTTATCGAACCTCTACACCCCACAGTCAATCCGTTTGCCAAAAATCAGCTTTAAACGTCAAGCAGTTTAAGCAGAATCGTGATTACTCAATGGTCATATTTTATGAAACACCCTGTACAAATTTTTAAAAAATCTTAAAATATGTGAAACAACAAAATAAAATATACGTTTTTAAATAAAAAATATTCTAATATTTGTGGGTTGGTTTCACCCCTTAGAATTCGACTTTCGAAAAATTCCTTCTTATCGAACCTAACTCTACACCCTAAAGTCAATTCGTATTCCAAAAATCAGCTTTTTACGTCAAGCGCTTTAAGCAGGATCGTGATTAATCAATGACCAGATTTTTCGAAACACCGTGTATACATTTTTAAAAAATCTTAAAATATGTAAAAAAACAGAATAAAAATACTACGTGTTTAAGCGTTTTTTCGGAAACTTGACCGTTTTTTAAATAAAAAATATTGTAATATTTGAGGGGTGGTTTCACCCCCTTGGAACTGGAATTTCGAAAAATCCCTTCTTATCGAACCTCTACACCCTAGAATCAAGCTGTATGCCAAAACTGAGCTTCTTACGTTGAGTGGTTTGAGCAGGATCGTGATTAATCAGTATGTCAGACACTTAAGGATTTTAGCAGGATATAGTATAGATATTTTTAACGTTAATACATATATTGGAAATCTTCATGACAGGCAATTTATTGTGATGCTATATGTTTAATATTCGTTTCATTTTTGTCCATGGCTGTACATAAAGCTTCATTAATTGAGAAATTACTCTAAGAAACGGTGACCAATTTAAGTTTAAAGTCTTTAGCGTACACAAAACTCATTCTAAAGAATCTGCAAGTTCGTTATAGTGAATTATGTACAAAACTAAGCCCAAATATATTCAAAAGTACAGTTGCGTTGTTATTTAAAGTGTGGAATATATTTTTAAACACCAAAATGATTTTGTTTACAGGGTGCATTCGGTGAAAGGCCACAAGTTCGTGGCTAAATTCTTCAGGCAACCAACCTTTTGTGCTTTTTGCAAGGATTTCTTGTGGGGATTTGGAAAACAGGGCTACCAGTGTCAGAGTAAGTAGCTTTTGATAGAATTTATGATAAATAATAAAGTCTGTATACTTTTTTGTGAATTTTGAATTTTGAAAGAATTTGAAGAAAAAAAAATAAAAATTTTGAAAGAATTTGTGAATAGTTCATTTCTGGAAAAAAAATCGAGGTATTATGATTTTTTTCCATACAGGGTGAGTCTTAAATAAGTGCAAATAATTTTAGGTTGGTATATTTCGACCAGGAACGCGTCTATGATGTTTTTTTTTTCACAAAAAAAGAGATGTATGCAAAAATCGTGTATTTTCTTTTAAATTTTCCTGTTTATTTTAGAAAACTTGTTAGAACTGCCTGGTTCATCGTAAATTTTCAAGGGTATAGTTTCTGAATCTCTGATATTGCCATGGTTACGGCTTTATTCTATAGTTACGGCACTAAAAGGGATGCAAAAATACAGAATCAGGTGGTGGCTCTCTATTAGGCGGTTTAGAATTTAGAATAAGTGGGAGGGGGGTTAATCTTTGCGACCTTAGAGGTCTATTGTGTCCCCCTTTCTTGAGTTATAACTCATGATACAGTCCCAGGACTTCCTACGGAGATCCGTGTCCTTCACAGTCGAGGAGCTACGACCCAGGCCGGGTAGACGAAACGGTAGCTTGTGTCGCCTGTTGGGTTTAGAGGTAGGAGGTAGGCTCCCGACCCTTGGAGGAGGTGGTAACTTGTATGCCACTTGCGGAGGATGGTCTCACGCAAGTGTCAGCCACCTCTCCTGTAGTTCTCTTTGGGTTTGGCCCCTTGGAACTTTCATTGTTACTGTTCCCAGTGTTGCTAGGGGTTTCCCACAGCTTCACCGGTGATGATTTTATTACTATTATTACCAGATCTCATAGTGTTCCCATGAGTCGCTAGGGACAGTCGGTCCACTTCTATAGAGCCCACATGTAGAAGTAAGGGGTAAAATACAATGGGGTGCCCCCGATGCCCCAAGGTTGAGGCTGTCCGTAGCCCCGCCCGGTATCGTTATATGTCTTGGTGCAATTCCCTGGCCACGACACTACAGTCAGGGACAAGACGATGAGTGAGATGCTTCTTAGACCAAGCCAAGTGCTAGGGGGGATTCCCCCCAGCACCTGACCAGAAGCTTCCCCACCAACGACAAGGTCTTGCATCTCCTAGGGGAAGATTAGGCGGTTATTTTAGACTTATTTGTAAGAAGAGAGAAAAAATATTTGCACTTATTTAAGACTCACCCCGTATAAAAAATAAACGATTAGTCGGAAAAACTCTTGTCGGAAAAACTCTTGTCTTGTTACTCAAATTCAGAAGATATAACAATACAAATTTCACATTCCTTGTTACTTTTTCTGCTCTACAACACAACTCTATTAAATTGAAACATCGAATGTATTCCGTAATATACAGGGTGTAAACAGGGTTTTTTTATCTGTAGAATTATCAACTGCAGTTCTGAACACTAATTTTTACAGCTTGTGTTAGATGTCCATAATTATAATTTAATAAAACATTTTTAATCACTAATTGATTGAAAAAAGTATACCATTAATAATGCAAATTATATTTTATCCTCTCATAGTATAATATGTCTATTTAATTTTTTATGCAACGAGAACTTTGTTTACTAATTTGTTTCGCCGAACTGCTTGAATCCATTTTTGCTTTTGATCAGATCGGTGTGAGAAACCAAGAAGCTATAAAGTGTTGTTTCGGGAGATTTGAATATCCGGGAAAGTTGAGTTATTGAATGTTTTTGCACCCAACAACGCCCTAATTACGCTCTCCTTTACGCGTTAAAATTTTTTCGGCAATTTTATTAATATTTGAAATTGTCACACCCACAACACGACGCCTAGTTCGAATTCTTTTTCACTTATTTTTTACTGGCCGAAACAGCGTTGCATCGCACAAACCTCGTACCTGAGTATTTTATAGTTTCAACAACTCCACTAGAAAAAAACTAAAATACTTAAATATTATGATAAAGCCACGATTTCAATATTATTGTAATGCGATCAACATGAACTGTAACCGGGATGGCGTGAAATACATAATGAAAATTTGTGATTTCTGTCTTATACAGCGCCTATTAAACGCTTGTTTTTTTCTAAACAACATTATTATCATGAGAGATCCCTTACACTTTTACACACCTATAATTTTTTTATTTTTTTAGGTTGTCAGACAGCTGTGCACAAAAAATGCCACGACAAGCTTCTGAGCAAGTGTTCTGGTTCAGGAATAAATTCAGAAAGTACTATTGTAAGTATCTGAGTAGGTACTACAACAATTTAAAAATTGATTTTAATGTAGTAACAACATTAACAGAAATGAAGTTTTTAAATAATACAATAATTCTAAGAAAAAAATCACTTGAATTTTTTTCGTTAAACTCAGAAACAATTTTTTTTTAAATATAAGTAATTTTATGTTTCCTGTGGTCTGAAGTGTTTATAGTCCAGCCATGTTTATGCTAACGCCTATATGTGCAAAATTCCATTCAAAAAACTGGATGAAAAATAGTTCGGTTACTTTTATAAACATTTATACCGGTTTGTTTATGTTTGGATTGAGACTGTGGATTGATATTTGGCCCAGTTTAATTTTTTTTAGTTAGATTTGTGATCAGACGAAATCAAGTTGGGGGAACATTAACTTAAAACTTTTATTTTTATTTCATGTTTTGTGATTAATTTTCAAACAAAAAAATTAACTATTTAAAATCAAATCACGCAGTATAAAGTAATCGCAAAACATTTTCCGATGCGCGTCATCAATCATATCGACATTGACTTTAAAGCTTATAAACCTGACTAAATTAAATTTTAAAATGAAATGGAAAAAATGTTTAAATTTGTGGAATAATTTAAGATACCAAGCAGCTCTTTATTTGACTTTATAGAGCAAATGATTGTGACAGATATTTTATTTAGATTAAAGCTGCAAACATTAGTTTAAACCGAATTTTATTATCGCTATGTTGGTCACATTGCGCCGTTTTCAGCAAGGTTGTCGTTCATTATTTGACAATTATCCTAATGTCATCATTATTTTGTATAATATCGTGTTGTTGTTGAATCTTTGTGAGTAATTCTTAGGGACCGGCAAGACAAGAAATCTGTCTTGACAAGCAATTTCTTGTCTTGAAATATTTTCAAGAATTAAAAAAAAATCTTGTTTTGATCATTTCTTGAGAGTTGATTTCTTGTCTTGATTCAAGAAATCTTGAGATTTCTTGACGAAAGGGGACCCCCGTTGAAAATTCGTTTATTAAAGGGGAACCCCCTGTTTAAAAGTCGCGGTGAGATTGGTTAATGTGATGTTTATGCTTTATGCGTAAAATCGACGGTCAGGCATCTAATTTTCAAAAAATTCAAAAACTTTGGGCTCATTATACTACAGTTGCCAAAGTCAACAGATTTACATAATTTTGTTAATTATTATTATTATTATCTAACATTAAAATGAGTAATTGTGATGGTTCGTTGAGCAGCAAATCTGAGCCATTCGTAATTGAATCTGGTTCAGAATACCTACCACCTCAGACACCTGGACGTAGAAGATTAATTAGTGACTTTGACAGTAGTGACGGTGATAATACTACTACAGATAAAAACAGGCAAAACAACATTGATAAAAGCTACTCTACTTCAGTGGCGTACATTAAAATGTATATATTTTTTTTATTTTAAAAGTTAATAAATAAATAACCCATAATAACGCTTATAATAATCTTCATAATGGACTAGTTTTTGCCAATATCTAATAAGTAAAATAAGCTATAAAACAAATAAATCAATTAATTACTAAAATATTAGTTATTAATTTAAAAATAAAACGTAAAAATCTTAAATTAAGATTCATCCCATAAATCCATCACAATCTGGCAGCGCTGTCGGCATCGCCTGTCACTCAAAGTTGATCACGTGCATCGGAACTAGTTTTGCGATTACCATATTTTTCCTTTTCAAGTTCATTTTTATATCGGAAAACATTTTATTTAGCTGTCTTCAAAAAAAAAACGAGAAATAAATAAAACTTTTTACGGAGTTGCTTTCAAAAACTGGTCAGTTTAGAAGTCACTTTTATATAATAAAAGTACTTTTTATTCTGGGTTGTGTTATCCTTTTATTACTAAAAAGTTACGTGCTGTTAGGGACAAAGGGTGAGTTTCTCAGTTAAAATGTCGAATAAATCAAAAACAAGAAATGGCCGCCAGGAAATTTATTTATAGCTACATTCGTGGTTTTTGGGGTAAAACTGGGAAAAAGGAAAAGGTTTGCGGTATTTATATGTTTAAATTTGGACAGAAAAGTTGTTTTTACGTATTAAAAGTCTGAAAAATGGAAATAACAACGCGTATAGAAAGTTCCAAGAGTCTTTAATATGTCAAAAAAAAAAAAATATCGGGTGCCTTTCAAAAGTGGCTCACCCCCTATAACTTTTTTATTTTTTCAGATAAAATAACGAGATTTAGTATGTTAGTATATGACATAAATTAGGATCGATTGACGTATTCAATTGTTTTTGGTCACTTCCTGTTTCACCGGAAATGACTACAACTTTTGATTTTTAAATGGCACCCTCGGTATATTTCTATTTTATTCGATAGAAAATGACAATCTGAATAGAATGAATATGTCAACTTTTGATATTCTCGCTTAAAAAAAATCTTATTTTAAATTTTAATCTAGAGTGCCATGGCTGTGTTAAAAATACTAATTTTTAATCAGGTAGCCTTGGAAAAATAAATACCTATGATCGTTTAATGTTTTTCGTGTCTTGTCCTGGCCGGTTAAATGAGGCAGAAATTGTTTTATTAATCATACCTGAATTTTTTCAAATGGAACTAGGGTGGCTCATTAATATATTTGGAAAAGGCATTTTCTATTAATAATTTGACACCACACATTTAGTATTTCGAGTCAAATTGTTATAAAAATTATTACAAACCGCATGTTACCATTTCAAATAAACCATATTTGCGAGAAACTCTGTAAAACACACGAAAATGGGATACCTTGTACAATGATAATAAATATCTGACATTTTTGTTTCAGTATTTAAGGGAAAGATTCAAAGTAGACGTACCCCACAGATTCAAGATACACAATTACATGTCGCCGACATTTTGTGATCATTGTGGATCATTGTTATATGGATTATACAGGCAAGGATTAAAATGTGAAGGTAAGGTTTTTATTTTTATTAAATTAATATTAGAAAAATTTATTTTATTAAAATTTATATTTTAAGTGTGTGTAATATTAAAATCATTAGTATCAAATGCATAATATAATATTATATTATAATTAATTTTATGACATAATGGCGAATGCGCTGAAAATTTTTTATTTAAAATATTATGGCGAATGAGCCAAGACTATTTTGTAATTTTTGGTATTCTAACGTATTGAAATAATTTTTTAAATATATTTTACACACATACACAAATTATTTGTTAGTATTCTGTATGATCAATAAAAAAACGGCGTCAAGATGGCAAAGTCAACACTGACGCCGTTTTTTAGTTGTATTGTATTTTATACATAGATGTAAGTTTGTAAACATTTTGCCAATATTTTTTTCTTTAGATATTTCCATTTGAATTGAAAATAACGCATATTTGACACGCCTTTGCATTTAAAAAACATTCTCGATAATAATTTAGAACATATGTATTATTACGTATGTACCGTATGATCGCAAAAAAAACCGGCGTCCAGTTGGCTTGGAAATTACGACCAATAACAGTCCCCATATAATTATAAAATAAAAATGACATTATCTAATAACTGATTTTTAATTTGAATTACTTAATTACAAGGACTTCTAAATATTTTTCCACTAAAACAGCAAACTAAAACCATTTTTTTCCATAGCAACTGTTAAAATTACCTTATGTCTATCAAAAATAGTACTTTAACCGCAAGGGTAAATTAAATGATACTTTAAAAGCGAAGATAGGTTAAAAACTTTATTTCTTCTCGTACGTTTTTTAATTGCTTCTATTTTTGAAAATTTTTGAATTCCTTTTCATAAGTTATTCGGGATTTAAATGGAAGTAGTTTGGATATGGCGTTTGTCGCCCCAGCCTGAATATCTGTTGGTAATTTACTTATTTCGTTTTGAGCCAAACCATAGACAAACAAATAAAAAGAGACTGACAAATCTCATGGTAAAGAGTGGGACCGCGTTCCCGTAGCGCAACTCAGAATAACAATTTTGAAACCAATTAGCAGGACCATGGCAGGACGTACGTCCTTATTGCTATCTTTCTTTATTATGTGTGCTTTATATGAAAAAGAAAGAGATAGGTATAAAACGTATCGTAAGACATTATCGCACATTCTGGCTGGCGGAAAATTTAAATTAGCCTTTATTAGTAGAATTCTTTCATTCTGAAACTGAAAAAAAAACTGATGTATTCCCTATACCACGTAAAGGGAACGTGGTGTAGAGAATAAATCAGTTTAAGTGAAAATTTACAGTTTCTTTCAGAACGAAAGAGTACTACTATTATAAGGGAAATTATAAAAAAAGCAAAAATTGTATATAAATTGTATAAAAAATTAAAATAAATTGTTTTATAAACATATTTATTTATACATAAAAATAAATAAACTTTTTATAATATTATAACAAAAAATAACAGTGTTTCTTCCACCCACCTACCAATTTTAAATGCAGAAGAACTGACTGTTGCAGGAAACGATCGGCCAATTTTTTTAAAGGGCATTAAAAATCTCATTTTCGAAAAAACTGCCTAATTGAAATAACAAAGTGAATATATCCAAGCAAAGAAGACTTTACGAGAATCATGATCCTGAACCATTTTCAAGTCCAGCCTCAACTATATACCTAACCAGAAAATTAAAAAAAATAATTGTTTTAATTTGTTATGTTAAGAGAGGTTCGAAATATTTTTGACACTACTACTTCTACTTTTTTCTTAATAAGATGATAAATATAACTACTTACTTTTATTTTACCGGGTGTCTTTAACATATCTATCAGAGAAAGGGGCACCAATACATATAAAAATAGATGATACTGGATCCTGCAGCAAATAAAATAACAAATAGTATAACCGAAAATTATAAGTAACCAAATATAAATACCTATATGGAACAAAGGAATTTGTTCCCTATCCATATTCATAAGTCAATAAAATGGAGAGTTTAGAAAAAAAGGTAAATCACCAAAAAGAAAAATTAACAAACATGACGAATTGTCATGATGTTGTCATCTTGGTTGGCATGATGACGAAAACGAAAGAGCGATTGTTCTAATTTCTATTTAGAAATTACGTTTTATATGGTTGCTTCTTTCTCTCTTGTTATATTAGAATGAGATAGTGGGCCCAATAGAGGCAATGCGCAGATCAACATAAATAGAACGAAATTTTGCGTTCTGAGTTGCGCTACGGGAACGTTGTCCCCCTCTTTGCCATTTAATTTGCCAGTCTCTATTTATTTGTTTGTCTATGAGCCAAACCAAACTAAAAAGACAGCTTTATTTATTTGTCAAGTTACATAGAAACCAACACCAAAGACCAACACCAACCCAGCACAATATTTTTTCTACTTGTAATAAATTTCCTGAAATAATTTCTGAATATTTTTTAAAACGTAACTCGCTTTGGAAAAAAATATTGTTTTATACACGACGATAAAATTGCATTATCGTCTCCCGAAATTAATTCACTCACTTCATTATCAAAAAATAACTATTTTTTGATTGTTAAAAATAAAGTTTAACTTTATCTGTCATAAAGAATGAGAAAATTACATTGAAATTTCATCGTTCTGATGGCTAATGAAATTAAAGACAAACTACTGCCATCTTTTCCACTGTTACGGTCCATGTAGCTATGAGACCCCGCAGCAGGAAACGTTCTAAAGACAATAACCAAAGATAACAATAACATTAGCATTTGCCAGAAGGCCGATCCACACTTACCTGCGACGTCACTGCGGCTAAACCGGGTGCATTTACAGCAGGGCAGTTACGAACAGTGCCGTAGCAATGGGAGGGTATTAGTGATGCGCATTTCCGATTTTTTTTAGTGAATCGAATCACACGATTCAACTTCTCATATTGATTCGACTATTGTAAATAACTTTTTTATCGCTTGCATTTTTTATGCACATGATGTTTGGTTAGAAGATGATGAACTGATGAACCGCATTAACGCATAGAAACTATGAGGCATTAGAGTTTGTGTTTAACCTTATAAACATAAAAATTTAACTCAAATTATAAATTAGCTATTTATGTAACAAGTTGCGAAATGAATGTGTTTAAAGCACTCTTTTCGCAACGAATTTCATAAAGATTTTTTGTGAAAGCGGATAATTTGAGATTTTCATGCTATTATTATTATTTATTTTTAAACATTTTTTAAAATGTTCTGGTAATCGGTTTCTAAGGCATTGTTAATGCATTGTTTAATGACAAAGTTCTGTCAGGTTCAAACGTCGCTGTATTTCCTACAAAGTGTTGTGAAAAAATGAGTGATAATGACGAGTCTTTGGATATTCAACAAGCTGCTGAAACTGCGCTATCCACGTTAGTGCCCGAGAAGTCGAAAAACTTATACGAGACCACCTACAACAACTTTGAAACCTGGGTCAAAGAAACACATGTTGAGAATTTCACAGAAAAGGTATTGCTAGCCTATTTCCTGCAGTTATCCACTACCTTAAAGCCGTCAACTCTGTGGAGTAAATATTCGATGCTCCGTACCATGATTTACCTGAACAGAAAACGTAGATATTAGCAAATTCACAAACCTTATTGCATTTTTAAAAAGAAAAGCTTCCGGATATCAGGCAAAGAAATCAATAGTATTTACAAAACTGGAAATAGAACGCTTTATGAAAGAAGCCGATGACAAAGAAATCCTGTTAGCTAAAGTTTTCTTAATCGTTGGAGTATTTGGAGCATGTAGGAGGGAAGAAATCACGTTTTGACTGTAGATGCCATTAAAGATTGTCAGTCATTTATTGGTGTGAAGATTCCGAATACAAAAACTCATTTTCCAAGAGTGTTTACGATTACTGAGGGACCAATAGATGGTACCAATTTCTTACATGTATTTCGTAAGTACGCAAAACTTCGACCACTCAATGTAACACATCAGCCATTTTTCTTCTTCTTCTTTTTCTTCCTTCTTCATACTAGGCGAATCGCCTGTTTGGTTTTGTCGTCTCTACCGGTTAGACTGACAAGTTGTCCATCGTTTTCGTGGACGTCCTAAGCTTCTGCGACCTAGCGGTGATTTGTCGCGTGCAACTCTCACTATCCTTCTGTTGTCCATTCTGCTGATATGGTCGTTCCATTCTTCCTTTCTGCTGAGTACCCACTCATTTACATTTTCCAACTTGCACGCTCTTCTTATGCTTTCATTTCTCTCCCTGTCCAGAAGCGTCTTTCCAGCTATTCTGCGTAGTATTCTCATTTCGGTTGTTTCTAGTAGTTGTTTAGTTTTCGCTGTATTAGGTCGAGTTTCTGCAGTGTATGTCATTATTGGTCGTACCGTTGCCTTGTAAATTCTCGCTTTAGTCTCCACCTCAATGTTTTTATTTCGCCATATTGTATCATTCAGGCATCCTGCTATTCTGGTTGCCTTCGTTGTCCGTTCTCGCACCCTCCGCTTCTACATCACCATATTCTGAGATTTCTATGCTTAGATACTTAAACTTCATTTCTTGCTGAATAACATTGCCCTCGACTTCCAGTTTGCATCTTAGTGGTATTTTTGATGTCGTCATGCATTTAGTTTTCTGGGTCGATATTATCATATTAAGTGATTTGGCAGTGCAATTAAATCGATGTCATAAGCGCTGTAGATCGTTCTCATTTTCAGCTACCAATACGGCGTCGTCGGCATAGCATAGAATAGTAATTTCCTGGTCGCCCATACTGTATCCCTTCAGTAAACGTACATTTCCTATTATTTCGTCCATAATGATGTTGAAAGAAGAGGGCTCAGGGAGTCACCTTGTCGGATACCACAGCCTACATTATTGGTTCGGTCAGGTCAGGACGTTAATTTTAGCTTGAATTTGGTTCACTTCATATATGTTTTGTATGGTTGTGTGGGATTTGCCTATTGTAAAGAAGGTGTACAACGTCTCTTAGCTGCACACGGTCGAACGCTTTTTCTAAATCAATAAAACACATATACGCTGGTTTGTTATATTCGATTGATTTTTCTGTTATCTGTCTTATGACAAAAACCGCGTCTGTGCATGATCTGCCCGATCTGAAACCTTACTGTTCATCTGCT